GCGCTTCAGTAGCGCTGTTGATGATGGCCAGGTGTCCACCTTCAGCTACACACGTCATGTACGCTTGGTGCCACGTCTGGCCTGTGTAGTGAAATTTGTAGCAACTGCCCGTCCTGGACTCCAGGAAGTATTCTGTTAAAAAGAATAAATCTGAATCGAAGTGAAATACATGTGTAAGCTATATTGCTGTAAAGTTTTATTAAACTCCCTTAAATAGCATTCGCGTGAATGAGTAAAAAACATCCATCCACAATCACAAAGTTTCACATTTATAATATTAGTAATATCTAAAAGATAACTTGGGAATTTGCGGATCATGAAGCAGTCTGTATATTGAGCCACACGAAATAAAAAGAAATATCCATAAATTGAGTTCTACTGCTAGGAAGCTTTAGAATTCTGGAGTGGTTCTGTCAGAGGTGTTTTAGCCGAGAGGATAGCAAGTGAAGGGGTAGTGAGGGGGTAGCAACTGAAATCGGGAACGAAGGTTCTTGTTAGTTCTCATCTTAAAAGTATTCCGAACTACTATAGATTTCACATATCATAAGAATCTGTAATACTTACATGACTTACCATACTTTTGATTTGATTTGACTCAGACTCGGGAGAAGCCGGGGTATGTCACTAGTCGTTAATATACTTACTTGTATCAGTTGTTCCACATGTTGTCTGTACAACAGACTGCGTTTTTTTCTTGTAACATATATAAGGAAATACTTGGGTGCAATTGACATCAGCCATAGTTCCATTTTGGGATAGCAGCAAACAGCTCTCGTTGTCTTCGTAGTTATCAGGCTCGCCGGGTGCCCAACTCACGGGAATCCTCGAGAGTGGCACTCCTTTAACAAAACTGTATTTAGTCTCGGTGGTCTAGCGGTTTTGCACACCACTTTACACCGTTGGCCGCGGCTTTGATTCCTTGCACGGTACTACATTCATGAGTATGAATGTTTGTATCGGTATGGGTGTTTTCTATGTACATTATGTTAGTATTTACAAAAAATTGTATATATTTATATTAGTTGTCTGGTACCCATACACCTGGCTGTTTAGTCAGGACTAGATGGCGTTGTGTGAATTGCCCATGGATATTGTTATATTATAAATACATATCATATTAAAAAATAATTTTACCTTCTACAGAAGTATATACGCCTTTAGAGAGAGTCGCGTGGATACCACTGTAGATGCCACATTGTAAACTGTTGGTAACCACAATCGTTTTCATGACTCGTAACAGGTGTTCATTAAGCGGCGAAGCCAGGACAGCACCTTTTAGAACGAAATTCAACTATTGTATAATCATTGAATGTCATCAATTTTGATTCAGGCAACTTAATATTATTTATTTAACAATATATACCCCTATATAACCCTATACATATATATATCCCCTAACAATATAGGCCCATATTATACCCCTTATTATGGTCCTTACGGACTAACATATATATATATATATATATATGTAGTACTACTCGCAGACCCGGCCACGCGTTGCTGTGGTTAAATAATAGACAAATAATTTGCAATAAAATAATATTGCGACTATAAATTGAGATGTAAGCTACCCTATCTTTCAAGTTGGATCAAATTGCACACAATGTGCAAATCAAATTTGCAATCGGTTCAGTAGTTTAGGAGTACATCGCGGACAGACAACGTGGGGGGGGAAAGGGGATTGTTAGTAATGTGGACTGATGATCCCATTGCTAGCAATGTACCAAATCAGGTTGACCTCCACGCGGTTCCTCCTGGAAACCATCATGATAAATTCATGGTGAATTTGTCATAATGGGCTAACTGACCTGACCTCATGTTCATCTTATCATCCTCCACTGGTGCCCCGCCAGCGTAAACCGTTAACGTAGGCGGGTGAACCATTCCATTGTCATACATAAAAAAAAAGACAGACAACATGGCACGTAATTTTTATATATATAATAATAAAATATAAAATAATAATATTGTATTTGTGGTCACCACACTGACTATGGTAGTCTGCTACGGTAGCGCCAGTACTGTCTGCCAGTAACCCTTCGGCCAGTAGTCTTACTTCATAAAGTTAATTAGTTAAAAATGACGTAGTGGAGTAACTTGAAACAGTCGTGCTTGTGACAAAGTTCAAACTTGTGGTGGCGTGGTGGGCCGGGTCAATGTGCTCCCATGTATATTTTTTTTAAATATATTATTTACTTCCGGCTAGTAATTTTTCTTTTTCGGACTTCACCAATGCTGTTGACCGCAGATGGCCTTTACAGCTTCACCGGACGATAGGGGGTGAGTGCAGATGGCATTCCAAACCCGCGGAAGAACTTATGGAGCGGCTGAAGGCCAACTCCCGCCTGACGGATGCGACTTTAGTCTGAGGGCACAGCTAGGGGTTCGAACCTCGGCTCAGGCCGTCGTAACATCGATTCTCTTTGAATTGGACGGGGGATCGATCGGAGGGGATGCTAGTAATAACTCATATTATAAATACCATATGACATAAGTTATTAGTGGCCTGAAGAAATGAATAAGTAACTTTGGTAGACGGTCAATTTACTTGACATGTTAAATAAATGACAACCAATGTATACCTATGTTTATCTATACATATAAATAAAATTGGAGTGTCTGTTTGTAATATTGAAATAACCGTTTTTTACTACATGCATATGAATATAAATTTATTTCTTTTTTCTTTTCATTCAGCACGACTTCGGTAGCCTTAACGAAATGACCTTTGACCAACAGTGGGACAACATAGGTTAATAATCTATACATAAAAAATAAAATGAAGAGTCTATTTGTAATATTGATATAACCGTTTTTACTACATGCATATGAATATAATACGGTACATACACCAAAATAATATTTTTTATAATTTTTGTCCGTCTGTCTGTCTGATCCGGCTAACGATTTTGACGGGACTTTTATTGGCAGGTAGCTGTTGTAATAAGTAGTAATGGCAGGAGTATATTAGGCTACTTTTATTTTAGATTTTTTTCACGCGGACGAAGTCGGGGTTATAGCTAGTAACAAATAAATTTGATTTGATTTGGTTTTGATAGAATAGGTACCTTCGGCATGGCATCTCAACCGTGCCTCGTTCCATGTCCCTGGAATTCTGTGCAGCTTCCACCAGCCCGCAATCTCGTTATTGTAGGTGTAGTCAAACCGATATTCTCTGCTTTCTGTTGAAATTCAGTTTCAGCATGAACTTTTGTTTGTTATTTTGACCTGATAATGATTGGATATAAAGTAGCCTAATATAGAGAAGCATTTGAGATACTGCAGCATGGTGGATATCCTCTCCACTGTAGCGTTATATATAATGTGATGAGGTGTCGCTACATAAACTACTTGTTTATTGGAGCATGTAGGTAGTGAGTATACAGGTGTACAAATTGTACTATTAATTGTATATTATTAACTTTACTTGATGGCATGGCTTATTAGTAACGCGTACATTGGACGCTGAGTCGGAACGTGGACTGACTTTACACTTAACTTAAATCTATGTTGTCTGAAGAGGCACTAATGGAAAGATTGCCAAGTGTTGACAGAAATATTACAAGTGTAAATACCAAACGATATGAATATGACAAATCTTATGACGATTTATTAAGCTTAAGACTAACAATAAACAAAATAGATGATGAGCGTGTGTATGTCAAATATATTGTAGTGTATATAACATTTTTTATTGATTTAAAGAAAAAAAAAATGAGCTACAAGAAAGGTGTACAAAGCTTATTTATTGATAAGTAGTTCTGATTTGATCATAGAATAACATCGTATTGCAATTTTAATAAAAATAAGGACTCACCAGAGACTGATGTAAAAAATAATAATGTCATAATACCCTTTGTTAGTAACTTAACCATTTTAAATACAAGTATACAACACAATCGCAGTATCAAAACAGTAATGTGTGAATAAAAAAAAATACGCGATATATATTTAGGTTGTTATCAATTTTAATAGACCATATCCTGTGAATGATGGTACACCGTGCAGGGTATTTGCGATAGCACCCTATCAGAGGTTGTGATTTCACAGAAAACAATACGAGTAACCGCAAGCATACCAGAGGTAGGTAGAGAGCAAACCCAAGCTAATGTGGGTGGTGCATTTAACAAAATAATTGACGGCCTCGACCTATTTTTATACTACATAGGTGGCAAACGAGCATACGGCCAATACAGTAAACGGTTAACGTAGCCTATGGACGCCTGAAACACCAGAGGTGTCACATGCGCGTTGCCGGCCCTTAAGAAACCTTAATATACCCTTACCTTAACCTTACCCTTCTTGAAAAACATGCTGCAGTCTCGTGAGAAAACCTCAGCAGGAAGTTCATTCCACAATCTAAGTGTACGCGGGAGGAAACTCCTCTGAAACCGCACTGTCCGAGACCACTTAGGTTCCAGCGTGTGGGGATGAATTCCCTGTCGATGGCATTACATTACATTACAGTTTTTCAGTTCATCTTGTTCCTTTAACTCATTTGTAGTGTCCTCGCTCCATTCAATAAAAGTACGATGTAGTTAAAATTCATTATTCGTTGCATCTCTATTCAGAAATGTTGCGTCTCCTTTCACCCAAGCGAGATAGCAATACTTTCACTCGTAACTGACGTAAATATTTAAGTTCAGCTCCACTCGTCTGACTCTATTATTACCTTAAATATTAGGATATCTATTCGTTATTCATAAAATTCATTATAATTTTAATCTCTTACATAATATTCCTAATTTTGATACAGTTTTGTATTATTTATAAGAATGGGCTAAAATTAAGTTCTTTTTTTGAAAATCGAGTATTTCAGTTGTGTTTGATTCTATAACAAAATAAATACTAATAAACCGTTGCTATTAGTTGCTTTATCCTATGTATGTGAGTGCAGAAAATTTTCATAGTAGGTAATGAGAGAGATCTGGACATGTTATTTACCTGCACGTTCTCATGTGCTTATACAGGAAAAAAACAACTCTTCATAGAATGCGTTTATTAAAAATATATTAATATTAATTAATATGTTATTGTATATATTTACTAATCGACGCCGGCAAATTACCTTTTCCTTAAAAGTGAATAACACAATTGTGGAGATAAATGCTTATAGCTTATTTAAATAAATAATAATTATATAATTTTGAAGTTTTATTGTTTTTATTACCTACAATTATAGTAGTATAAAAAAAATTGTTTAATTTACAGCTATTTCATATTTGCTTTATAAATTTATTTCCTTTTCGCATATAAAAGGCATTGGGACGTCGCACCAGACATCATCAAGTAAGCCGTTCCGCATCATCCCGCCGCAATGTTGGCCAACATTATTCAGTTTCTTATTATCAGGTGATTCACTTTCCCAACTGGCATATCCTGCTTCCTCAAGAGTCTGACCTGAAATGTAAAATATAAAACAGTTAGCGCAGAGACAGTACTGTCACAGTGTATGCTGCGATGGGCCATGTTGACAATTAATAACATTTATTTATTTATTTATTTATTTATTTATTTATTTACTTACACAACTATTATTACAGGCCTAAGCCCAATACAATAGTGTATCTAATTCTATATTATACATATTCGTTAACATAACATATAACATACAATGTTGTTTTTGTGAATTCACACAGACTACACACAAACAAATCCGTTGTTTCTGCTATTTTATTGAGAGTGGCCAGTGCGAGTGTCATGGGCGCCTTGTTTAGTAAATTAGTTCTGCCGCGAGGTACCGCTAATAACTGGGGCCTTCGTCGCCGCCCCAGGTAATTATCTGGTACCCTAAAACTTATCAAACCAAGAACCAGAGAATTGGTGATTTGACCCCGAAACACTTTAAATATGTATGAGACAATAGCCAATTCCCTGCGTACACGTAATTCATTATATCCCACCATGCCCAATACGAACAGAGTGGGATACATCAAAGGATACAAGGGATATACTCCATATTGCCTCATATATATATACCTAATAAACTTATTTTGAATTTTTTCCAACATTAGTCTATATTTTATTTCATATGGATCCCATATTACAGCGTTGCACTCAAGATGGCTCCTTACTAATGTGTTGTACAATGCGATTATTACAGTAATACTTGAAAAATTCTTAACAGTACGAAGTATGAATCCTAACATCTTATAAGCTTTTTTACACGTATCTATTATATGTTTCTTAAAAGACAAATCAACTGTAAAAGTCACTCCCAAATCTTTCATCTCTGTGACTCTCTTCATCGATTTAGCTTCTATTGTATAGTTACAATGGATCGGGTTATGCGACCTAGTAAAACTAATACTCATACATTTAGAAGTATTAAATTGCAATTTATTTTTATTGCTCCATGCTACTACTCTGTCTATGTCTCTTTGCAACATTTCACAATCAGCAGCAGATCCAACTGTGAGAAAGAGCTTTAAATCATCAGCGAACAGGAGACATCCGGAATGATGAACAACCTTCGGCAGATCATTGATCATAATAGTGAATTCGAGGGGACCCAACGTACTCCCTTGACTCACTCCTGACCTGACCAAATAGGGATCTGACGTAAAACCAGTATATTCGACGTATTGATATCGATCTCTCATGTAACTAGTAAAAAACCTTAATAAATGTGGCGTACAACCTATACTCGCTAGCTTCCCAAGTAATATGTCGTTATCAACGACATCAAAAGCTTTTCGGAAATCAAAATAGACAGCATCTACCTGCCTACCCCCATCCACAGCTGGTATAAGTTCAGCCATATAGTTCACTAGATTACTTGTGGTACTGCGGCCCGGTCGAAACCCATGCTGCGCCTCTGAGAGCTGTGAACTCAATTGACTGAACATTGCATTCTGTATTGCTGACTCAAAAGCTTTAGCGGGAGTAGAAAGAACTGCTACTGGTCTATACTCTTCTACACTTCCACTACCCGGACCCTTAGGAACTGGAATTACACGAGACATTTTCCATATCGCAGGAAAAACCGCTGTTTTTAAACACAGATTGTAGATGTGTAGTAAAGGCTCGGCTAATACAAATCTACAGTCCCTAAAAATGTACGCAGGGATACCATCAGGCCCTGAGGATCGTTTCGGTTTGAGTTTCGCTAGTGCTTGCCGAACGTCGGCTAGATTTAGTGCCTCCAAATGCACTCGTGCCGATTCATTCGCACCTTCTGCCTGTGCCATAGCATCGCTCACATTCAGTTCGGCCGTTTCAGTACTATACACGGAATGAAAATACTGTGCAAATTCTTTAGCGCATTCCTGTCCCGTTAACACAACACCATTTTTCAATATTTTTGAGACCGGCTTACTTCTTTTCGATTGTACGTATTTCCAAAAACTTTTGGGATCTTCCCTTAAATGATTTTGAATACGTTCCCTATATCGTTCGTAAGTTTGTTGTATCATTTTTTTTACCCTTACCCTACACAGCGAAAATGCAACATAATCAATACGCGATTTACTCGACTTATATCGTTTATGAAGTGACGCCTTATATTTTATATTATTAATTAATTCAGCAGTGTACCACTCGGGATAGATATACCTCGAATTGACATGTTTTTGGTGTTTTATTGGGATATAGCTATTCATAATATTATTAATTACCTCATAGAAAAAATTTGTACCCGCTTCTGCGTTATTCAATTTATATAATGGACTCCAGTCTATGCCACCTATCGCTGTATATAATATTTGATAATCAACTTTAAAAAAGTTCCATTGTGGTGGTGAATAAAGTGTATCTATGTCGGCATTACTTACATGCGTACATCGCTGAGAAGCCGAGCTGGCCGTGCGGCATGTCACCGATACGGATATCTCCAGCGGTGGGTGGTGGACATCCACTGGCACTAGTGATTCAGATGCGACACTCACACTGACACTTCCACTCAATGAGCTCAAGACTAAATCCAATTGACGCTCATTACAGTTAGGCACATTATTTTTCTGTGTGAATCCACAATATGTTAAAAAATACTCGTAATAATTACACATATACGTTGAACAAGAATATAAATTAAAATCTCCTATCACTATAATTTCCTGATACTTTACAGAAAGCTGTTCAATTATTCTATACAGAAGCAAGTACTCATTGTCACTACTCTGTGGCGGAATGTAAACAACACAACATAAAAATAAAAATCTATCGCGCAAATATACTTTCGCACAAACCAGTTCAAACGCACAGTTGCTGATGTTGACGTCATCGGGTATAGGTGCACTTCGTAGTTCATAACGTTGCGTGGCCACGAGAAGCGCGCCGCCTTGTTTACGACCGTCCGTTCTGTCGCAACGAATGATCTTATATCCTAACGGGACTATTTCTCCATCCAAAATAGATTCATTGCACCCCGTTTCAGTGATTGCAATTAAATCGGCGCTACAGGACGACACCGCGGTATTAAAATCTTCTAACTTTGTCCGAAGGCCACGTACATTTTGGTAAAATATTTCAATCGGTTTACTTGTATTATTTTTGTTTATTGTATGATCTACGAAACCACACCCACTCACAAAATTCTACATTTACAGGCCAAACATCCGGCTGACAAATTTTTTCATACGAACTCTCAGGAACACTCACTATAAATGAGGAGTAATCTCGTTCTGTTTTGTGGTTTATTTTTTCAATTTTAATAGGTACATTATTACCACATACATTTCTTGTATAATTTTCTATACTTTCTACCGTCGTGTCTTTTTTTAGTCGCCACACATGTAAAGATTTATTTCTTTCCGTTCCTTGTATTTCTACTGAGCCCATACATCCACCTCTTTTAACTTCCCTATTAGGATACCTATTTTTCTTCTTCTCGACTTCTGTCCATGATCCTTCTTTCTTAAATTCTTCATTATTAAATTCTGGGATTTTGCTCTCAGATGCCTTTTTATTTTTGTTTTGGTTCCCTTCCGCTGATAATGTTATGCGTTTTATGGCCACACCTTGATTTGTTTGATTTACCTGTGGTTGGTTTTGTGTCAGTACACTTGCATATGATATCGAGTTCTTATTTATATTAGACGTTTTAATTGACGCATTTTCGTTCCTCTTGGTGTTATGTAAACCCGTTTCCAGACATTCGTTATTCTTTTTTAATAATAATATCTGTTCTTCTAATACCTCAACTTTGTTAGCTTTTTCTTGAACTACCGCCATACATAACATATCGTCGGTTAAGGACTTAAAAATCAAGAAACATACAAACCAATTTATTAATATATTGTCTCTACAGTAGAAGATATCTGAAGAAGGAAAAAAGAAATTAAAATACAGAAATGATACCAAAGATAACGGCTGTATGGGCCTAGACTCTTTGCCTTACCTAGAAGGATAAATAAAACAAAAAAGAATAAAATATAGAAAAATAGCAGTATTCAACCTCATCACTTGTTCAAATATAAAAAGTAGACTAGGCTGTACGGTCTAAGGATCTTTGCCTGTTCCATCACTGAAAAGGAGATGGACGAATATAGAAAAAAAAAGCAGTATTCAAAATGTACATTTTTTACTAGACAAGCATTTAAATTTTATTTTTTTAAATTATTGAAATTATTTTTTCCTTTAAGGTTTTTAATTTACACAAAAGTGTTGTATATCATTTTAAAAGTATTTAGATAATGATTAAGATGGCGTGGTTAATTTAATTGACTTATATAAGAGGAGACAACTCTAGCTTCTAATATTGAAAACTGTTATTTTTTTATTTAATCGACGATATACGTGAATGCATTTTTTATACTTAACTTTAAATGAGTAACTTTTGTTTCGTTTATAATATTAGTTTATAGTATCTAATATCTTAAATAATATATAAAAAAACACATATGACAATGCATATGAAGAATGTACCTAGTGAGCATGTACCTGAAAAAACACATATGACAATGTATATGAAGAGTGGGATGTACCTAGTGAGCATGTATCTGACACAGTCATGGCAATACCTGTGTCAGGTACATGCTTACTGTTTTTTTTAACGTGTGAAAAATCTTCGAAAGTCCGTCACCCCGCCGGGGTGACGTGGGGAGGGCGGGGCGGTGTGTGAGATTTCCACTGACCAAAAACCACACGGCGTACCTACGAGCGTCTATGCCGGAGCCAGGGGATTCGCATGTGCATTTCCACCCCAGCTCCGACGACGACGGCCCGCCCTGTAAATGTTGTAGGGCAGGCCCCATCTCGTTACGGTTAGGGCGACCTATTTCACCCTACTCCATTGTGGAGGCGTGTGGGTACACGCGCACCTCCGGGGTCTTTGGATTGGGGGACTGCCTCCCTCAAGGCAGTCACCCCGGCCCCAGTGGGGGATAGAGGGGGGCGGAGTTGGGTACGCCCCCACGCTAGGCTTGGCTCTTCTGCGGCGGAGGAAAGCGGGACGAGTCCACTCCCGTTCTCTTTCCGCCGCCTCCATCCGCGAGATACTCGATCTCTCGCTACTCAAGTTGGATCAAATTGCACACAATGTGCAAATCAAATTTGCGATCGCTTCAGTTTGTATAGTTTTATTGCTGTTTACTTTCTTGCAATCATATTATTAACTGACAATAAATTTATTTCTTTTTTCTTTTCATTCAGCACGACTTCGGTAGTCTTAACGAAATGACCTTTGACCAACAGTGGGACAACATTGGTTAATAATCTATACATAAAAAATAAAATTGAAGAGTCTATTTGTAATATTGATATAACCGTTTTTACTACATGCATATGAATATGAATACGGTACATACACGAAAATAATATATTTTACAATTTTTGTCTGTCTGTCTGTTTGTCCCGGCTAATCTCTGAAATGGCTGGACCGATTTTGACGGTAAGACTTCTTATATTGTTAATTTTATTGGTTAGGGCTGTCCCCAACATACTCACGCTACACTTTAATGATAGATGCTCAGGTGCTATCATTAAAGCGTAGCGTGAGCATGTTGGGACAGCCCTGATCAATAAAATGAACAATATAAGAAGACTTACCGTGAATAGTAAACCAAGTGCTGATGTGGTATCATTAGAGCATGAGCATGTTGGGACAGCCCTAACCAATAAAATGAACAATATAAGAAATCTTACCGTGAATAGAAAACCAGATACTCAGGTGCTTTCAATAAAGCGTAGCGTGAGCATGTTGGGACAGCCCTGACCAATAAAATAAATATTATAGGAAGACTTACCGTGAATAGAAGACCAGTCGTTCAGGTGCAATCAATAAAGCGGGAGCTTGAGAAAGAAGATGTTGGGACAGCCCTGACTAATAAAATTAACAATATAAAAAGACTTACCGTGAATAGTAAACCAAGTGCTATCATTATTCCAGTCCCAATACCCAAGCATGGCTGTGCTCGCATAATAACACTGAATGCTGTTCGAGGAATAAGAGTCAAACAAACTCCTAAGAATATCTCTCTCGTAGTTACTGTTAATGATGGCCAAGTGACCACCCTCGGCGGCGCAGATCATGTACGCTGTGCGCCATGTTGCGCAAACGGAATGAAATTTATAGCAATTGTTCGTTCTTCGAACTAATTTATAATCTGCGAAGCAAATTTTAGATTATCACTTTTTACTGCTAGGAATGTAAATATTTTAAATTCAAATGTTAAGATACTAACTACGTGTATTAATCATAATTAGTTGCAGTGTAATCCTTACTAATACATATTATAAATGTGAAAGTTGGTATGTTTGTTACGCTTTCACGCAAAGACTATTGAACCGATCATCATGAAATTTTGTATTCATGTTCTTGGAGGTATTAGAATTAACATAAAAATAAATATATAATCAATGCGGGCAAAGCCGCCGGTAATAGCTAGTAGCTAATAAGGGAGATTAAATCTAGCTGTAGTGGTCTAGATCTCGATACTGAATATTGTTCCGCTCAAATAGTGTAACAACGAAAAATCTAAATATAGCAATGAAAAAGGTTTTCAATTTTTAGGTTTTCGATCAAAATGAGGATATATATCATGATATATTATATAATGTTTTTAGTTCTATGAAATATTGTGAAACTAATAGTAGGTACAATAAAATAAAGTTTAATAATTTTGAACTTGTGGTAATAAATGTGCTACTGTTTGTGATTAAGGTACTACTTATGATGACACACACACTAATGATGGTGGAATTAAACAAAATTAATACTAAAGAGCTTACTAATAAAATAACAAATAAAAACTTACTATTATCAGTCGTACCACACTCATTAATTTTTTTATACTTTTTACTTCCTTTCTTGTAGCACATGTAAGGAAAGGTGAAGTTGCAATTCACATCAGCCATGGTACCATTGGCATACAGCATCAGACAGTTCTCACTATTATCGTGGTCGTCCGGCTCCTCTGGTGCCCATTCTACTGTAATATTCTCCAGCGGTACTCCTAAGATCATATTATTTATTTAATAATCAAATGAAAAACGCTACAATTCGGCATGCTATCCATGAGCATCACCTTTGAAACTTAAAATCATATGTAGATTACTATTTGCATACACTAAAACATTCTTCGATAATTTTCCAAAATCCTTCTCAAGTTATAGCGTAACTAAGGAAAAAAGGGTTTCAATTACAGGTACATTCAATTCATCATTATTGAGAATTTAAATACAAACAGATTATTATTAAAACTTGATATTATAAGAACTGCTTAACTATCTTAAAAAAGGAGCAGATTCCGGAACACTATAATAAAGCATTGCAGTCACATTTGTTAAAGGTTGAAGTAGATTTTTTTTGTGATGTTAATTAAAATATGTTTTCACAGACACATTTGGGACACATCTTTATCTAAAGGTGCAAATTTTAATCTATCCCTTATGTTTCGTCATAATTTTTTTTAATTTATATAGACGTTTCACACACGCAGTCTAAGTGAATTGAAATGACCAATCACTGACCAGTTTCTTAACTGGTCGTACCAATCATAACAGCAATCGCCTGATCACGTGACAATTTTCGTGATCAGAAGTCTTGTCTCTCGATTCGATGCGAACGGCGGTTGCAACGTAGCTAATTGTTATAAAATCCAAATTTAAGCCAAAGAATCCTAAGAACCATTATCATTCCTCATGTTGTGAAACCTGAAGTGGACAGCAGATCCGAAGTGGAAACCCGAAGAGCAAAACGCAACAAGGGAGAATCGATCCCCGGCTCTTCCAGGGGAATATACGACGATCCGGCTATATGTAAGTAGTGCTTGGTCCATATCTTTCCACAAAGACTGGCGTGTGTGATCGTCTTACATAAGCTGATTCTCTCAAAGTGTCTCGGTTCTACCGAATTGATACACCTTATTATTAAAATACAAAAAATGTCCAAACCTTCTACAGAAAAATATAGTCCTTTATAGATACTGGCATGAATGCCAGTGAACACTCCAAAATTTAATGTACTGTTAGTTTTCATTGTCTTCAACATTTCTTTCAGGAAGATCTCGTTAAGAGGTGATGCCAAAACCGCCCCTGCAATGAAAAACTTTAGTTAAGGCCGGTAAGACAATTTTTTGGTTCTTTGCGATAGCATACATATGCTTGTGGTCACTCTATTCTCCCAAATTTGAATTTTAATAACTGTATTTATCATAAACATGTTCCACTATTATTTGAAAAAAATTACGAGCTGAGTTTCTTGTCAGTTCTTCTCATCTCGACATCATTCCGAACTGACGGTAGATTTGACATATCATAAGAGTCTGTAATAGACCTACATGAATAAAGATATTTTGAATTTGAATTTGAATTTGTGTTGCCAGTGATGACTTACGACGCAAAGACGTGGTCGCTAACTATGGCCCTCATAAATAAGCTCAAAGTCACTCAGAGGGAAATGAAGAGGGCTATGCTTGGAGTTACTCTGCGACATAATATCAGAAAAGAGGAGATCCGCAGAAGAACCAAAGTGACCGACATGGCCCGAAGAATTTCAAAACTGAAGTGGTAATGGACAGAGCACATAGTTCGTAAGACAGATGATTATTAGGGCAGTAAATTCGAGCTGTTACACTACGATTTTTTGTTATACATAGCATATGGGACAAATGAGCTCGCGGTAATATTGTAAGTGGTAAGTGATGATCGCCGGCCATAAGCACCATGCAACACCAGGGGAATTCCAAGTGCGTTGCCGGCCTTTTAAAGAAGCAATAAGATTTCTTGAAGGTTTCAGTATTCTATCGGTGCTGTAATACCCTTGCTGGTAGATAATTCCACAATATAGTTGTGCGTGATAAAAAGAAAAGCACAACCAAAGGTTACCATTTACCATCAGGTGGTGGTTTATCTTGTTCCTTTCCTGTTGTAAAAAGAATTACCTTCAGCGTGACATCGAAGGCGCGCGCTGTTCCATGTAGCAGGTAGACGGTGCATCTTCAGCCAGCCATCTAAGGTATCTACGTAAGTATACTTCGATTGAAACTGACCACCTTCTGTCAAATATATATAATCACTATAAAAGAGATATCAGACCAAATGCCAGATAGTGCCAGATAGAAATAACCGTTTTTTACTACATGCATATGAATATAAATACGGTACATACACCAAAATAACATTTTTTACAATTTTTGTCTGTCTGTCTGTATGTTTGTAGCTGATGTAATAAGGGATAACTAACTTTTATTTTAGAAAAATTCTTTTACTTTAGAAAAATAAAGTCAACTTCCATGCGGAAGAAGTCGCGGGAACAGTTAGTTTAAAATATAATCGTATGTAGAACATATTAGTTGCTTATGCAAATCAAGTTGTTGAATTTGTATTTCCTATACCAATTGAGAAAAACGGACAAGAACCTGTATTTCTTTTCATAAACATTATTTACTCCTTTCTGACGAATACATTTATGGTATCGGTATAACATTAAATGAAAATTTTAGTAATCGTTTAGTGAGTAATAGGTTTTTCTAAGTATGTTTTTAGCACTTTAAAGACCGCATGACCACCGGTGGGTCACTTCGCAACGAAATGAAATTAAATTAAATGAAATAATTTATTTGCGAAATATTAGTACAGTATTATAATTAATATGATGTTACATGAAATTGATTGATCAGCAATATTTACCATACAGGTATGCAAATTACGTGAAGGTGTTTGTGTTACTTAAATATTCTTGGACACTGTAAAAATTACCAAGTGACAGCCAATTCTTTAGTTTGCGTTTGAATAACGTATGAGACCCCAGTTCTTTAATCTCTCTTGGAAGATTGTTGTACACTTTGATTGCCATACAGTATACATTTCTCTTATGTAAGTCTAATCGACACATTGGTGTGTATAGTCTATCATTAGGTCTCGTTACTCGCAGTGTTGTGTCTGTTAATTTCTTAAAATACTCAGGATGTTCCCTTACAAATATACAAATGTCTTTAATATACATACATGGCAATGGAAGGATGTTTAATTTTTTAAAAAGAGATCGATAACTTTCTCTTACTCTGGCATCGCACACAGCTCTTATACATTTCTTTTGCACGATAAATGCCCTAGTAGCATCATCGAAAGTAAATTTACTCGTTGGAGCGGGTCACCTGTGGGCACTTTAATGGAAATAAATCTAAGGGTAAAAAATGTCTACCTCATACTATTGTACACTAAAAACATATTTAAAAAATAACATACGTAATTAAAAATTGCCGATCCCTATGTGACAACTAAGATTTTTCAAAGCGGTCTTCAACGTGTTAAAGTAGTTTAAATTTATTTATAGGTAATTCTAGGATATCGTTTACTGTCTTATTGTCAAACTAGATTTTGCCCGCGGCTTCGTTCGCGTTAATTTATCCCCTTACGGGTGGAATTTATCAAAATCCTTTATTAGGGGATGCCTACGTCATAGTAGCTTTCTGTCAAAGTCTCAGCCCGATCGGTTTAAAATTGACAAAGTTTCATACAAACTTTCATCCCCTATTTTATCCCTTTGGAGGTAGAATTAATCAAAATCCTTTATTAGCGGAGGCCTACGTCATAACATCTACCTGCATGCCAAATTTCAGCCCTGGGGGTAGAATTAATTAAATCTTAGCGGATGACTACGTCATAACATCTACCTGTTTGCCAAATTTCAGGCCGATCCGTCCAGTGGTTTGGGCTGTGCGTTGATAGAACACTATGCCAGTCACCTTTGAGTTATATATATATATAGACTTATAAAGAGTATAAAGCAAATCCTGACATATAAATACCTGAGAATGAGATGTATTGAATAAATATTAAAAACAATGAAGTCAAAACAAGATTCTCTCTTGAAGACATTTTGATTCGTGCACGACTAACGTCTGAAACTAACTAATGTTTTACTACATTCGCATCCTTACCGCAAGCGTTATATATAGTAAAACTAGCTTGGAGCCAGTCGACTATATATTTGTAGGGTTCCGTATATTTATACAAACAATCATACTTATAAATATAAATGTTTGCACTGTGCTAGGAATCGAAACCGCGACCATCGGAAGTGAGACGGTGTACTAAACCGGTAGAGCTACACCTTTAGGGTCGACATGTTGCACCTGACACCCCTGGTGTTTTAGGCATCCATATGCTACGGTATCCGTTTTACTACGGTCACAGATTGTTCGTATGCTTGTTTGTCGTCTACATAGTATAAAAAAAAATCATCGAGGCCAATTATTTTGGTAAATCCATCGCACACATCAGCATCGGTTTATCCTCTACTTCCTACCTCTGGTATGCTTGCGGTTACTATATTGATTTCTGCGAAATCGCAAGCTATATATAGGACGCTATCACAAATACCCTGTACGGTGTACCATAATTCACAGGATAAATCTATTAAAATTGATAACGACTTAAATATATATAACGTATTGTTTTTATTCACACATTACTTTATTGATACTTCGATTGTGTTGTATACTTACATTTAAAATGGTTAAGTTACTAACAAAGAGTATTTTGGCATTATTATTTTTTACATCAGTCTCTGGTGAGTCCTTATTTTTATTAAAATTGTATTACGATGTTATTCTATGATCAAATCCAAACTACTTATCCATATATAACCTTTGCACACCTTTTTTGGTAGTTCATTTCTGGGTATCATCAAATTCACATTATTTTTTATAGTAGCCAATTCAGAGCAATATGGTCATCGTAATATTGCATCTTAAACGAAGCGTGCTCGTAACTTGTTCGATTTTTAAAAATAGATCTTGTAAAATGGCCGGTAGTAGTTTTTGCAGATTTGGCGAGAATTTACGTAATTAGTCAATAGTTAGATTCGGTGTTAAGTTGAAAGTGTAAGTAGGTGCTGTTACCACTTGAATGGTAATGACTGACACTCACACTTAATATTAATAGGTACATGAAGCAAAAACCTTGTACCCATTTTTACTAAAATTGAGCGGATGTAGAAGTATAAAATTTCGCACACTTATAGTTTACATAGAGGAGTGCAGAATGCTAACATTTTTTTTAAATTATGCATATAAAATACATTATTTAGTAGTTTGTTTTCACATAACATTCTTAAAAATGTAATTCTGAACGACGTGTATTTTTATAAAGAGCAAAATGCTAGTTTCTTGCTTGTTCTTCTTATAATGAGTTTTTCCAAAGGAGTAGTAGAATAAAAAAATGTGACTATTCAATAGTGCTTATATCAAGTTCATTTGATTGAAGATTATTTCTATTTCTATTAAATCTATAAAAACAATACACATAACCACTATATCCACTCCTCGCGTAATGTTAACTGTCTCTGTCTTAGATTTCTCTCTCATTCTACTTTCTTCTATTCTAAATCCTTCTCTATCCAGACCGTTAGGTTGTGGAACTCACTCCCCTCTTGCATTCGGATCATTCAATCACTTGCCAGCTTTAAAGCCTCTGTCAAATCCCATTTCCTTTCCCTTTAATTAATTTCTCATTATTCTCTTAACTAATCTTCCTTCATTATTTCCAAATGTATGTGCACTATTAAGTATATGTATGTGTATGTAGATATGTATTAATATGTATATATATTTATGTATATTTGAGTCATATATATTTATTTTTGTTTATTACGTGCGCCACCTAACCTGTTCTTATTGCGATAAGACCGCCTTTTGTATCCATGTATATTTTGTACTTTAATTGTTTTTTGTTGTTCTAGTGTGTTGTTATATAAATAACCATGTATTTGACACACACATGCTCATCTACTCTTTTATTTATTGTTAGTCTAAAGCTTAATCAATAGTCATAAAATTTGGCATAAATTTCATTTGGTATTGTGCCTACACTTGTAATATTTCAACACTCGACACCCTTCCATTAGTTTGCCTCTCCAGACAACATAGATTTAAGTTAAGTGTAAAGTCAGTCCACGTTCCGACTCCGCGTCCAATGTACGCGTTACTAATAAGCCATGTACCACACTGTCAAATAAACTTAATAACATACAATCATCATCAACATCATCTCTGACCGGAAGACGTCCACTGCTGAACAAAGGCCTCCCCTAAAGATTTCCACGACGATCCGTCCTGCGCTGCTCGCATCCAATGCCTTCCAGCGATCTTAACCAGATCGTTTGTCCACCTTATCAGAGGCCTTTCCACGCTTCCGGTTCCACGTCTTCTGGTCCACGGTCGCCACTCGAGGACTTTACTGCCCCAACGGCCATCTGTCCTACGAGCTATGTGCCCTGCCCATCGCCATTTCAGTTTTGCAATTCTTCGGGCTAAATATACAAATAATAGTACAATTAGACTACCTGTATACTCACTACCTACATGCTCCAATAAACAAGTAGTTTATGTAGCGACACCTCATCACATCATATATACAGTGGAGAGGATATCGACCACGCTACAGTATCTAAAATGCTTCTCTATATTAGGCTACTCTATATCCCATCATGATCAGGTCAAAGACGAACAAAAGTTCATGCTGAAACTGAATTTCACAGAAAGCAGAGAATATCGGTTTGACTACACCTACAATAACGAGATTGCGGGCTGGTGGAAGCTGCACAGAATTCCGGGGACATGGAACGAGGCACGGTTGAGATGCCATGCTGAAGGTACCATCCATTTATCCGTGTTTGCGTTTTGTTTAATATTATACTTATTATTTTCCTTCCTTGCTTGCTCGGGGAAAAGTGTGTGTTGTGGCTTCCCTTAATTAACCATTTAATTTATATATTAGTTGTAGTTGTTGTTATTTGTCTTTCTGCCACATCTCTGTCTGTCCGAAATTTGTCGCGAGCACGACAGTTTCAAGTTACTCCACTACGTAATTTACAGAATTTAGACAGCATAACTTTAAATGATTATCAGTGTTAGGAGTAGGTAGAGCTATTTTATGTACTTGCCATATGATAGAATAGTATGGATATTCCCCGAATTCTAGAATTTGTTTTTTAAGTAGAAATATAAGAGAAAACATATGCTTCCTATAAGTATAAGGACGGTTTAAAAGTTTAAGAATCGCTAAACAATTGAATTGCAGTGGTGCAGAAAGAGATAAAAACAGATGCACTCTAGTCACACCCGTGACACTACCTGTACGTGTGAGCAAGAGGGCATTATGTAACGATGTCACGATGAGTATCAACAAAGCGGCAACATCGCGCGTTTGACAAAAACTGTGGCAACATTTGTAAAATTTACAATGTCGCTCGTGCGCTGATGAGCTTACATTGTAAATTTTAAAAAAATGTATACCAGTTTTTATATTTACTGATAAAAATTATTGTAATAATTGAATTCCGGTGTATCAGTTGGAATCCCGTGGAATATCCACATTAACGTCAATGTTTGAGGTCAATGATCCTAAACAGCTCTATATACTCCGATCACTGATGATTATAGTTCAATTTCGACCATTATTTTTTTTAACAGGTGCTGTCCTGGCCTCGCCGCTTAATGAACACCTGTTACGAGTCATGAAAACGATTGTGGCTACCAACAGTTTACAATGTGGCATCTACAGTGGTATCCACGCGACTCTCTCTAAAGGAGTATACAATTCTGTAGAAGGTGAGGTAATTAGTAGCCTTGAAATTCACCTGTATTTTATGTAACTGAAATAAGAGATGATAGAGGGAATCTGGGTGTTTTTTATACTACGATGGTGGAAATCAAGCATACGGCCCATCTGATGGTAAATGGTTACCGTAGCCTATGAACGCCTGAAATACCAGGAATCACATGCGCGTTGCCGACCCTTAAGAAACCTTAATATTCCATTCTTGAGAAACTCCATGCTGTAGTCTCGTGGGAAAACCTCGGCAGGAAGTTTATTCCACAATCTAAGTGTACGCGGGAGGAAGCTCCTCTGAAACCGAACTGTTCGGGACCACTCAGGTTCCAGCGTGTGGGAATGAATTCCCTGTCGATGGCGAGCGGTGCGGTGGTAAAAGGTGGCCGTAGGCATCATGTCGAACAATTCCTCAGAACACAGTCCATTGTATAATCGGTAGAACACACAAAGCGAAGCGAAGTCTCGCCGCAAGCTAAGTGGCTCGATACCACCAGAGAGATTGAGATCTGGGTGTTCTATATATATACGATGTATGTAACTACAAAAAAAGTTATGTATGTATCAGTAACCATAACACAAGCTCTGTTTACTGGATGGTGTTTTGTGCGTTGTTCATGGGTATTATTCTATTGTCTCGTTCTCACAGATTTTGCTGGTTTTTTACGCTTCGTGGCGTCCCCATATCAAACTTATCGAAACCAAGTGTATGTGTGTGTGTGTGTGTGTGTGTGTGTGTGTGTGTGTGTGTGTGTGTGTGTGTGTGTGTGTGTGTGTGTGTGTGTGTGTGTGTGTGTGTGTGTGTGTGTGTGTGTGTGTGTGTGTGTGTACCGAGTACGGTACATGCCAAGTCTCTCGTTACTTTCGTGTTTTGCGTGATGACTTTCATTTATATTCTATTCTAGCACTTAGAATTATTATTATCGTTGTTGTCTCATTCATCATCATCATCATCATCGCAGCCCGGAAGACGTCCACTGCTGGACATAGGCCTGTTGTTGTCTCATTACTCACTATTAAAACACCCAGAACGCTACAACAATTACACTCACCAATATAAATGTATGCACCGTGCGAAGAATCGAATCCGCCATCGGCATAACGTGGTGTGTAAAAGCGCTAGACCACCGAGACCAAATACATTTTTGTTAAAGGAGTGCCACTCTCGAGGATCCCCGTGAGTTGGGCACCCGGCGAGCCTGATAACTACGAAAACAACGAGAGCTGTTTACTACTAATACCAAATGGAACTATGGCTGATGTCAATTGCACCCAAGTATTTCCTTACATATGTTACAAGAAAAAAACGCAGTCTGTTGTACAGACAACATGTGGAACAACCGATACAAGTAAGTATATTAACGACTAGTGACATGTCCCGGCTTGTTCCCAGTCTGAATAAATCAAATCAAAATATCATTTAGGTCTATTACAAACTCTTATGATATGTCAAATCTACCGTCAATTTGGAATGCTTTCGAGACGAGAACTAACAGGAACCTTCGTTCCCGTTTTCAGTTGCTACCCCTCTCCTCCCGACCTAAACATCTCTGCCAGAACCACTCCAGAATTCTAAAGCTTCCTACCAGTTGAACTCAATTTATGGGTAATTCTTTTTCATTTCGTGTGGCTCAATATACAGACTGCTTCATGCTCCGCAAACTCCCAAGTTATCTTTTAGATATTACTAATATTATAAATGTGAAACTTTGTGATTGTGGATGGATGTCTTCTACTCATTCACATGAATACTATTGAAGGGAGTTTAATAAAACTTTATAGCAATATAGCTTGTACATGTGATTCACTTTGATTCAGATTTAATCTTTTTAACAGAATACTTCCTGGAGCCCAGGACGGGCAGTTGCTACAAATTCCACTACATAGGCCAGACGTGGCACCAAGCGTACATGACGTGTGCTGCTGAAGGTGGACACCTGGCCATCATCAACAGCGCTACTGAAGCACAAGCACTCAAAGAGCTATTTGCTAAGTATCCTGCAAACACTATAATGGCCAAATACAAAGATCCTGCTCTCGTCGGATTTTTAGATTGGAGCAAAGACAATACATGGTTTACTATTCATGGTAATAATTTTTTTACATAACTCTCATATTGTTTAGTTATACAATTTTATAAATTTTTATTCAATTCATAAAGCCATCTGAATTCAGCGTTTGGGCATTACAGCCTAGACTCAATGGTGCGTGGTAAGCAACTTGGTCGTGACTGTATTTGCTCGCAACTATCATCATCATCTGCTTTTCCCTCATCCTATTTATTTGGTCGCAACTATAGTTGGATTAATAACTATAGTTTCAACATACTTCCTCGTAAAGTGTAGTGTTCACTTATTTGTTATTTAAATATTCTTATATCAAAATATCTTTATTCATGTAGGTTTATTACAGACTATTATGTTATGTCAAAATCAGCATCAGCAACTCAGCTCTTAATCTTTTCAAATGAACATCTACATGTTTACAAGAGTAAAGATTCATCATATAGATATCTCCTAGAATGTTAGTTGTTATCTCAATAATATCGGCTCGTTAGTCTCAGATCCACGTCTTAACTCCGCGGCGTCCACACGGGGAATGAACTCTCACGTCTCACGATTAACTGTCATCTCACGCCGATCGCACTCCTAATCCCAGTATTAAACATACCTAATGATATATTATATAACAACTAGCTGACCCTACAAACATTGTTAGCATATAAATTAAAATCGCTATTAAAAATAGGTATTAATGATAAAAGTTTGAAAATTTTGAGTTGCATGTACTTTTCATAGACTAATTTAAAAAATTAAAAAATAAATTGTACAAATAAATGGTAAGGGTAGACAACACTTATCACTTATAAGTGTTGTCCACTCAACGGGTATTAAAAATAGATAGTAGCCAATTATCAGACCTACTGAATAGGCATATAAAATTTCGTAAAAATCGGTGAAGACATTTTGGAGGAGTATGGTATATTCTATATAAATATAGCATTGTTACACAAGAATTTTAAATATAAAATATTTCTATTCCAGGTGAGACATTAGATGAAGCCGGGTACAATAATTGGCCGGCTGGTCAGCCGGATAACATGAAACATGGTAACCAGGGAGAACAGTGCGGTGGCCTGTTCCGATCGGGTTACTTGGACGATGTGTGGTGTGAACATCTGACTTTACCATTCATTTGTGAAAAAAGTCCAGACAGCTTGCTTACTGAGGAATAAATTGTTCATTCATTCATTTATAATTTAAGAGCTACGCTCTTGTCGGTCGGTCTTGCCACTTTCCGCGATCTTCCATCATGCTCTTTAATTCTTGTTAAGTATGAATAAATTGTTAAGTTATATAAAACGAAATACAAATGTTTTAGTACATTTTGATCTTCGCTGTACTAAAATAGATTTTTTAGTTTAATAAAAATTCTTCTATCGTTACATTGACCTGTATTTTTATGGAATGATGCACCCACCTGCTCTGTACTGTACGGTGTATAAACTTAAGAACTAATTATAAGAGTACTAGATATTTGAACATAAGCGTAGCTACCGTCGTATCTGACGGGGCCCCGGGGGCCCCCAACGAGCATAAGCCAAAATTAACGTCTCAATTTTTTTTCATTTCACAAGTGACAAAAATAAAAAAAAGCAATTTCTTTTTTACCCGCATCAGCTATAAATGATTTAATAATGCAAAAATTTTGGAAAAAGTGACAGATAGATAATCATGATAAATAAATATTTCTTTTAATTTTATGCAATTGTTTTTTTTTGTGAAAAATCTTTAGTCTCCGTGTTAGGGCCTCCAAAGAAATTTTTATACGAGGCCCCTCCAAGGCACGCTACGATTCTGTTCTTGAACAATTTCTTTTGTAGTTGAAATATATTTATGTATTGACGTCAGCAACAAATTTGTTTTTTTTTCACTAAAATTACTCGAAATGGTGTCACGCGGTTCATGGATACATGTTGACGACGTGCTACCAACATAGTAGTATAAAAAAATGTCTCAGTGACGATATTTTGAGCAGTTTCCTTGGTCATCTGGCTCCACCGAACGATAGGGGGCGAGTGCAGATGACACTCCAAACCCGCAGGACTTATGGAGCGGCTGAGAGCCAACTCCCGCCTTTAGTCCGTCTTCACTAGGCTGTAGTTTGAACCTCGGCTCAGGCAATCGTAATTTCGATCCCCGTATGATTTGGTCGGATCGATCGGAGGAGAAATACGACTGTGATTTATACGCATAAAATCTTTTCTCCGGAACGTCATGGACATAAATAATATTACAGATATACCAAGTACCTATAACCGACTGGAAAAACCCAAAAAAATGTGGTTCAGTCATTGTTTCAACGTTTAACTATGTAAGAACCACGATAACGGACGCTTAGTGTGAATTCCAGGATTGTACCCTTACAATATTCAACTTTAAAGTTGATTTTGCAATGTTTGTAATTATTTGATTAATGTTTTTATTAGTATATCAAATAGAAATATGACAAATTTACTTGAGACAAGACTTATGGTAGATTAAAGTGATAAGGAATATATATATAAATAGCCTATTCATATTGATTTAAATAACATTGCATCAGTACATCGTTTGTACACTTGTTGCGAAAATGGTCAATCTCGTGCAAGCTCTAGGTATTGTGGCATTACTTTATCATACATCAGTCGCTGGTGAGTATTCAAATTCAAATTCAAAAATCATTTACTCATAGGACATTTTAGTCCCTCCTCACCTCAAAATCAGGTTTTTTTATATTAATATACTTCCCTACTATTCCATTCAGTTGCTAGATTCAATTAAAGAGACCTTGTAAGAAACTCAACTGAATTTTACGTACGTTTGTCATTAGTGATACCAATATTGTAATTGTGCATGAAACAAAAATCGCGGTCGGAAAGTGTATTGCGTGTACGTGAAAATACAGTGAGTAAAATTTGCCGAAATGAGTATCGATAGTGTTTCAACAGTAGCAACTACCGAAGACCAAGTATGTCTGACCATAACATTCCATCTACCCGCTATTCTTCAGCTTCACCCTGATCATGACGATTGTAACACTGCCGAAGTATCGGAACACAATACTAATGGTCGATCATGTTACAGCTGAAAATTTCCTAAACGGAAACTAATTAATGTTAAAATAGAGGTTTGTCTACAGGACGCAAAATATTCCGGTTCGACTACACCTATAGTAGTGACATTGACGGCTGGTGGAAGTTACACAATATTCCTATAACATGGGACTTGGCACGACAACAATGCCTTGCTGAAGGTAATTGTATTATAAATAACAATAGCTCAGAACCATTCACCATCTAGGGTACTACTATTTAGTGTCGGCAACGCGCACGCGCACTCCTGGTATTTCAGGCGTCCATAGGCTTCGGTGCCTGTTTACTATTAGATGGACCTAATGACCCAATCTAAACAGAGCTTGTATTATGGGTACCAGACAACTGATATAAATACATAGAATCATACTCATGAATACAAATTCATGTACCGTGCGAGAAATCGAACCTGCGACCATCGGAAGTAAAGCAGTGTGTCGGCTAAACTACCGAGGTTGTTCATTCGTTAATTGTTTCGCTTGAGCTAAGAAGAACAAACGTGAAACTCAGCTCATATTATTTTCAAATGTACTTGTACAATTCAATTAGGTAGAAGGAAATAAGGAAACATAAAGAAAAGGAACTAATTCAATCGGTAAACAAAATATACATATACATCGTGAGATACTCAGACGCAGTGTTCATATATTATATTAATAATTTAATTTATAATATGGCATGTTGTCATAATGACTTTTTATTTTTTGATAGTAACAAATTTGTCACAAACTTTTGTATGATTGGAGATAGATTTTATCTGCCTAAAAAACTAACAAACATGACCCCATTATAAGTAATGTAACGGGATGGATTAATCTAATTAGTAGTATTTGTTTTTTATTTATTTATTTATTAAAGGAAAACCAAGGCTATTCAAGTACATCTTAAATAAAATCAATATATATGTCATAGTAAGCCACTGACAGGCTTTCACTAATAACATTAGACTAATTCTTAAAAAATTTACATCACTACATAAAGGCATTATAAAGTTAACAGAGAATATGAAATTAATTAACAAGAGTACAGTAACAAATAGTAAATTTATAGAAATATATACATATACATGATTTTCAATAATAATTAATTGTTATTTAAAGAAGGGCTCTTAGTTGGTGTCTCGTTGATTTAATATTATTACAAAATATATCTATATTAACTGTTTTAGATAGTTTATTAAAATTGTTGCTAGCTCGCCAGAGAAATGAATTCTGCTTATAGTTCGATGACACTAGGGGAACAGATAGGAGAGGATTGTGCCTTGTTGATACTCGTGGTACATTAATGGATAATTTACCCAGGAGACTCGGGCAGTCGACAGCATCAGAGGCTATTCTCATGAGATATGTAATATGCGCGATTTCCCTACGCTTCTCAAGAGGCAGAAGGTGGTGTTTTTTACAAAACTCAAGATACCTAGATGAATCATACTCTCGTAATCTGTAGGCTAAAAAACGAATAAATTTCTTTTGGATATTTTCGAGACGTAGTATGTAGGTTTTGTATCTAGGATTCCAAATATTTCCATTTATTCTAACCAACGTGCAGTATAATATTTTTAAGGTTTTGACTTGCTGAAAAAGACTTGAGTTACGCATAAGAAAACCGAGTGCTTGTGTATAACAATGTTATCAATGTGGTTGTCGAAGAGTAATTTTGAATCATGTGTAACACCCAAGTCCTTCATTGATATTTTTTTCTGAAGCTCCTTTTTTTGAATTTGAATATATTTAATCCAATTAGGTGTTATTTTGCGGAAGTCCATTTCACGTCTCGTGGTCTTAGGATGCTATCGGTGTATTCTGTGACCTCTCAAAGGCATTTCTTTGCGTTGATCGCGAAACACTCATACACGAACTAGAACATTATGTTATTAAGAATAAAACTCGAAAGATGATGAAATTCTATTTAGATAATAGTATGCAAATTGTTAAAATAAATGGTGTAAGGTCCGAAGGATCCAGAGTTAAAATGGGTTTTTCTCAGGGATCTATTCTAGGTCCTTCTTTATTTTTAATTTACATAAATGACCTTCCTTACATGATAGAAAAAGTAGCAGGCATAGTTCTGTTTGCCAATGATACTTCATTAGTATTTAAAGTCAATCGACATATTAATGTCATGGACGAAGTAAACAGTCTCAAGTCTCTCTCTTCTGTTTTAAAATGATTTAAAGCTAATAATATGCTATTGTGTAATAATAATTGGGGAGCGTAAATTTAATACAAAGTGTAATAAATTGTGTAAGGAAGGTAGACTCAAAAATCGTACTGAACAATAAACTTATTAACTTTGTTGATGATGATGTATTTCTTATTATCACAATAGATTACAAACTGGAATGGGGTGCTCATATTTCTAAATTGGCGAATAGATTTAGTTCTGCAGCTTATGCGGTAAGAAGAATTAGACAATAAACAAACTAAACTTGTGTATTTTAGCTATTTCCATAGCATTATGTCATACTGTATTTTATTAAGAGGCAAAGCATCTGATATAAATACAGTATTTATTTTGTAAAAGAGGGCCACCCGCTCCATTTACGGTATGAGTTCCAGGGAGTCTTTGCGTGAGAGTTTTAAAGAATCAAATATCCTCGTCGTTGCTTCTCAATACATCTACGAAAATATCATGATTGCCTTGAAAAACATGGACAGTTTTAAAAAAGCACGTGAATACACTAATAAAATTTACGTAATATAAAGAAACCAGTTTTACCTAAGTGCCTTTTGACGACAGTTAGTAATTCGTTTTATGGAAATTGCTTATGGTTTTACAACAAAATGCTGTACTTAATTTGCCAGAGATTTTTATTGTAATTTATAAAAATTTTAGAATTTATAAATATAATGTTTTTGAAGAAAATATCTAACTAAAATTCATAGCGCTGACAACCTGTTATCTGATTGAACGGAGATTAAGTGCGTAGCAGTTTCTACATAATAATATGTTGATTGTCGCATGCCTAATCTAAATTACTTTTTAATGTAAATCTAATTAAAACAATATTTATTTAAAAGAGCAACACACAAATTTCTTCTTATATGAGTGTGCATTCCGAATAAGCGGTAGAATAAACAAAAATTTGACTCTGTATTCAATAGTGCTTATATTAGGTTTATTTGAATAAAGTTTATTTCTCTTTCTATTGTTTATGCCACGAAAATGTTGGTTGAACCTGTTTGAATTATTGGGGATCGATGTCAGATAGTGAACTACTATACAAAGATGCTTTTACTTTTTCTGTCCAGCAGAAGATGTTATATTACAATACATTTTGTTACAGGTGCTGTTCTGCTTTCACCACTTAATGAGCACTACGTAATGGCAATGGAAATGATCATGGCTACTAGTAATGGTAGTATACAACGTGGGATATACAGTGGGGTCCACGCGACATATTCTAAAGGCGTTTACACGTCTATAGAAGGTGAGGAAATTTGTATACTCTGTTACAACAGAACTCACAAACAAGGTAAACAATGGTGTCACTAACCCAACATAGACGGTTTAGTGATACCGATAGCAGCACGAATATTAAATATTTCAATCTAATAAATATTTCGATTCGTTTCACTAAATTGAACTACTAAACTATAAAACTTACAAAATAACTTCTTTATTAATAATAAAGATATAATTAAAAACAATTCAAAATCCCCTTTCAACCCTTTTTTCGCACTAAAAAGTAGCCTATGTCCTTTCTCAGGATCTAGACTGTCTGTATACCAAATCTCATTTAAATCGGTTCCGTAGATTTACCCTTCTTTTTCCGAATACGTTCCTTCACCAATTTTTATCAATAAATCAGAAAAATCATGTGCATTTTAGTTTCCTGTCCACGCCCTCTCGTTCACTGTTAAGTACATCTGTGTGATGTATCGGTAAAGGATTGAGGTCTTTTAAGCATGCTTTAATATCATTGGCCTCTTTTTCCGTGGTACTACTGTCAATATTAATTTAAAATCATATCAGTTTTATCACCAGGTATCAAAGTGGCCGTAATTCCAGACGATGCTGCAGCAAGAGCTATTTTGCCCTGAGCTCGTAATTGTATTATAGAATTTCTCCCAGGGCTAGTTCTACTGTTAAACCAAGTGTTCTTCAGGGCAAGTACGGTGCGTTGCTATACCCGTATTTACGCTGAAGATGAACTCAGATGAAGTCAAAACAATTGAGATAAAAACATTTTAAGTTCATTAAATTAACGAATAGCGCCATCTATTGATTTTTTATTGAAAATAGTTTCAGAGCCCCTAAAGTCTTTGGTTAGCGTGTTTAAACCAAATAATAAGAATGTAAAACTATTATTGTAGACATTATTATAATAATAATATCTAATTTTTTTACTCGACTTTCCCAGTCAGCCAGAATACGGGGTTGAAATTTGACAGGTTTGTAACTTTAGTATGTACGTACCTATCTATTTATTATATTTGGTAATACTGGACCAAAATTAAGCAATGATCTGTCGTTCTCACCCTTTGCTATAGGTCAAAATGACTTTACTTAAGTAGTGTGTACCAAGCCAAATAAGTTACTACAGATTTTTAATCTAAATGTTTTCTATTTCACTTCTAACATCCCTCTGATTAGGTTTTAGGCGTTTTTTTCTTTGTACAGAAATTCGACCTCTACTGTTTTATTATATGTATAAATAGATTATAAATCTTTGTTACATAGGAGTGCCACTCTCCAAAATACCCGTGTCCTGGGCACCCGGCGAGCCTGATAACTACAACAACAATGAGAGCTGTTTACTATTTTACTCCAATGGGACGATGGCTGATATCAATTGCAATGAAGTCCGTCCGTACATATGTTACAAGAAAAAAAACAAATCTGTTGTGCGTTCTGATTGCGGGACAACAGATAGCCGTAAGTATATCGACCAATTAGTGACACGACCCAGCTTATTATATAATTAATACTATTACAAGAAAAGGATTGATATTCAATTTATTTTTTACAGAATACCATTTGGAGTCCAGGACGGGCAGTTGCTACAAATTTCACTACATGGGCCAGACGTGGCACCAAGCGTACATGACGTGTGCTGCTGAAGGTGGACACCTGGCCATCATCAACAGCGCTACCGAGGCTCAAATACTCAAAGAGCTATTTGCTAAGTATCCTGCAAACAAAGTAATCGCCAAATACACGGAACCAGTTTCTGTCGGATTTTACGATTGGAATAAAGACTATACTTGGGTTACTATTCATGGTAGTAAATTTATGTTATTATACTTTTAGAAGAATAGAATTTATTAAACAATATTGCGTACATGCAACACAGAGTATTGACTCTATGTAGTGGCCCACATGTTAGATTTAAAATGCTGGTAATAAGGTTTACAGCGCTAATTTTCAATGTAAAAAATCGTTTGCGTGAACAATCAGTTTCATATGTTTCATTTGCAAAGTAGCCGACTTTGTAAGCTATGTTTTAGTTATAAGAGCAAAGATAAATTACAAGATATGAGAAATACTTCAGATTACCAGCGCAAGAGTAGTATCACGGGCGTCACTAGATAACGTTAAGGGGGCGTCGATAAATACGTGAGTTGTTTTATTGAATTTTCTTTTTTTAAAATAAGTTTAGATCGGATTTCGTTCGAGTGAAGTGCTAGAAGAGCAGCTTGAATCTCCGAATAAATATATATTTTCTAATTAATGTAGTTAAGGGTTAGAATTACTTCCAGATCAAGGCGTTAGTTTCAGCCTGAAAGATGAGGCGTATTTTCCTAAGACTATATATTTGCACATTTTAGGTTTTACAACGCATATTCCGCATCCTACATCATCTCCTATTTTGGAACCGTCTGTGAGCCAAAATAGGTCTTGATCTAAATGATTCGGTGTATGATTATTTTGCCATTCGTCTCTTTCAGATATTTCAATTTTGTAATATTGTACAGAGTTACACTCTGGAGCCATGTAGTCTTCAGGCATTCTCAAAAGACTTCGAGTCTTAAGTAACCGACTAAGAATAATCTTCTTTTGTTATTACAAAAGAAGATTACTTCATTAGTATTATCATACCAACTCATTGCCATCAAATTGTAGTAATTATTGATATAAATTTGCCTACTATTACCAGGGTGGTTATTTTGGGTACTCCGTCTCCTGTTCGAACTCCCTATCTTCTCTCCGATCTTCCCTATATTCTCCCTATCTTCGATTTCCTAAAACGAGGGTTATAGTTACAGCTTCTAAATAATTTCGTAAGCTCACGTCCTAATGCAAATTGATCATTTAATAATATTTTCTTTTACTTAATGGATTTATATTGTTTTGATTAATTCCGCTACCGTGCTAGCAGGTGTGAGGTCCAGTGTTGACTATTCGGTAACGAAACTATACTGTAGTCGCTGAACAATTCATACTTCCAAACTATATCTTGATATAGTTTGGAAGTGTGAACTTCCAAAGAAAAGAAAGAAGAAAAGAAAGAAAAGAAAAGACCCAAAGACTTGTCGTAATATGGGTGTATATCCAATAGCGTTCGGGATTTAATTAGTAATAGTGAAAGTTAGAACGTTTCTAGTAGCGGTGGTCATACTCATGAATAAATAAAGGAATTAAACAAAATAATACTAATCCCTTAAGTAAATAAATTGACTTTTACAATATATTACCTAATTCGATTTCCTTTTTAGGTGAAACATTAAGTGAAGCTGGTTATAGTAACTGGCCGGTTGGCCAACCAGATAATGCCAAAATTGGAAACTTGGGACAACAATGCGGTGGTATGTTCCGATCTGGTTTATTGGACGATGTGTGGTGTGACATCATCACTTTCCCATTTATTTGCGAGAAAAAACCAGACAGCTTGCTTTACGAGAATTCTTAAATGTTTTATCTGTGTATTGTACTTATCTATCTATGTTTTGTACTTTGATTCTTTGGACATTAAAAATATTTTAATTCTACTATTGTTTCATTGTAATTTATTAGATGTATAGTTTGATATTGGTTGACAGCCCCGGATCTTCATTTTTTCCAGGCGGAGGATTCCAGGAGACAAAGCTATAAAATACCGCCCCCTAACATACCCCCGCCCTCCCCGGGTAACATTTTTGCAATACATATTAACACAATTTGTCCAATTAGTATTGCTGTTAATTATTGTAATTTTTTTAACAGTTATGTCTTCATTTTCAAATGCATTGAACACAAACAATTCACTTGACGACCGTCTGTCAGTGGTCAAGTGGTCAGAGGTGCGTCAAAAATGAGTTGTGTATTTGCTCGCCATGTTCGAATTCACCACCCCCAGGGTCTGTTGATCGTATCGGTCTTTAGGATCCTGTAAATTCATACATTAAGTGCAATAATAATAACCCGGGACAATTCACACAACACCATCTAGTCTCAAGAAAATTGCTCTTGCTAATAAAGTCAACATTAGCAAGTGCAAATTGTTACCCAATGGCCATAATTTTTTTTAACAAATTACCAGAAGAATTAAAGCATTTAAATAGAAGCAAATTAAAAAAAGAACTATATAACTGGTTGTCATCTGTGTTTTCATAATGTAGATGAATACCTTTCTCAAATGATAAAAAAGTGACCATTCAAATTGACAGTTGTCTGTTGCATGTCAGAAATGACTAAATGCGCGGAACAAAATTTAAAATTCAAAATACCACTACCAATGTACCACATTTTATGCAATAAAATTTCATTTCATTTCATTTCAAGATTAGCAAAGCTTGTGTTGTGGGAACCCTGTAGTTTCCAGAAGGCCCAGAAGTCACTTTACATTTTGAAAATTAAATAACTTTTTTTCTATTAATATATTTCGTTTTCTCTTTTCAAAATTAAAAAATATAATCCCTGGAAATTTTTATCATGGATAAGTTTACAATAGAACAACGAGTGAAGATAATTGAAGTTTACTTTGAAAATGGATGGTCAATTATTGCAACGCAAAGATCCTATATGCGCTATTTTAATGTTCGACATCCCTCTAGTAGGCCTGCAGTAAGATTGCACTAATTGAACCTTGTAAGGGTACATGTGCAAGTCTCTTTGAATGCGCTGCAGAGAACTCCGTGAGATGCTAAGTTCTTGACAACGCCTTCGAGTGGATGTGGTTGGGTTCTCTTCAATGCTACGGCTCACAGCTTCAGTACTTTCACGTGTACGTACTGAAAGACATCGTCCACTTCTAGCCCTATCACTTACAGAGCCATGCTGTTGAAAACGCTTCACTAAGTTCCTTATTGCAGGCCTACTAAGGGGATGTCGAACATTAAAATGGCGCATATACGATCTTTGCGTTGCAACAATTGACCATCCATTTTCAAAGTAAAATTCAATTATCTTTACGTTCTGTTCTAAACTTATCCATAATAAAAATTTCCAGGGATTATATTTTTTAATTCTGAAAAGAGAAAAAGAAATATATTAATAGAAAAAAAGTTATTTAATTTTCAAAATGTAAAGTGACTTCTGGGCCACCCTGTACAACATAGAAATAACCAGATCAATCAAGGGGGGAAAGGGATTGTTAATAATGTGTATTAAAGACCCCATTATACCACGTCAGGTTGACCTCCAAGCGGTTTCCCCTGGAAACCATCATGTTAAATTCCTAGTCAATTTGCTACATGGGGCTAACTGACCTGACCTCATTATACACATCTTATCATGTTCCACAGGAGGCCCGCCAGGTTATACCGTTGGCGCAGGTATAGTACACCATACCATCATCATCTCTCAAAAAAAACCAGACCAATACAAGCAATTATAATCATGAATAGAAATCTTACTAATATTATTAACACGAAAGTTTGTGAACATGATTTTAATAAAATTTTACTGATATATGATGGTTTTTTATTTATTAATTTATTTCAGACAACTAGGCCTATATTTATAGATACATTATAGCCCAACATACATATAATTTAATATATAATATAGCTTATACATCAGAATAACACATTTACTATAAATATCATATATTCATGTGGGTGAAACCGCGGGCACGGCTAGTGTTTATATAATACGAAGAATCGAGCCTGCGTCCATTAGAAGTACCTAAGCTGTATTGTTTGTAGCAACACACTTTCTACACGTGGTGGCACGTTATTAACTTCCTAGAATCTTTATCGCACGGCACGTGTACAGTAGAAACGCAGCTGCGCGACCTTCGGAGCCGTCGTTACCTGCAGCTGCGCTTAAAAGCGACACGTGTAAAATTCTAATGTACACGTGCCGCGCGTTAAGGATTCTAGGAAGTAGCGTGGATGATAGCACGTGTAGAAAATATCTTGCTACATGTCAATCTGTTATCCTACAGAAGACGACAATAATTTTCAAAAAATTGTGACTTACAATGTTTTGTGACTTTGACAGGGAATCTGTCGTCCCCACACGCTTAATCGTTGTGGTCTCGGACAGTGCGGTTTTACGTACACTTAGATTGTGTAATGAACTATCTGCCAAGGTTTTGGTTTGGTTTTGCCGCCTGGAAAAAAAAAAGGATCCGAGGCTGCCGACCAATATGAAATAAATAAATAAATAACCCAGGATAATTAACACAGCGCTATCTAGTCCCAAGTTAAGGAGATCTTATGATATCTGTACTAGACAACTGATGTAAATACATAGATACTATTTTTTGTAAATCCAAACAATCATACACATGATTACAAATGTTCGCACCATGCGAGGAATTGAACCCGCGACCATCTGAAGTAAAGCGATGTGTTGGACCGCTAGACAACTGTCAAACTATAGATTTAAAAAACAATAAAACAATCGTAGAATCAATATATTTTTAATGTCCCCAGAATCAAAATACAGTCACAAATAAAACATTTATGCTTCGGGTATCAAGCTTTCTGGGCTTTTCTCGCAAATGAATTGGTAAGTCAGATCTTCACACCACACATCGTCCAATAAACTAGATCTCAACATACCACCGCAATGTTGTCCCATGTTTTCAATTTTAGCATTATCTGGTTGGTTTTCGGACCAGATCCTATAGCCAGCTTCGCTTAATGATTCACCTTAAAAGGAAATCGAATTAGGTAATATATTGTAAAAGTAAATTTCTTTACTTAGGGTAGAATTTGTATTATTTTGTTTAATTCCTTTATGTATCCATAAATCACCTTCCAGCAATGGTATTTCCGAACCGATACGATATTGAAACCTTCAAGAAAATAGCTTATTCCTTTTTAAAAGGCCGACAATATACTTGCAATTCCCCTGGTGTTGCGGGTGCTCATGGGCGGCGGTAATCACTTACCATCAGGTGAACCGCAAGCTCGTTTGTCTTCTGTGTTATAAAAAAAGAAATAAGTATGATTAAAACTTGACCACCGCTACTGGAAACGTTCTAACCTTCACGATTACTAATTAAATTCCGACCGCTATTGGATTTACAAGACAAATGGCGAGCTGTCGTACGGTGGATGACATCAGCCTCACATCCCACTACGTAATAACCACGACCGTTCTGACAAGAACGAAGCGAGTGAGAAGAAGAAGAATTGGATTTACACCCATATTGCGAGAAGTATTTCCTTGATATAGTTTGGAAGTGTGAATTGCTCGGCGACTACAGTACAGTTTCGTTACCGAATAGTCAACACTGGACCTCACACCTGCTAGCACGGTAGCGGAATTAAACAAAACAATATAAATCCATTAAGTAAAATAAAACATTATTAAATGATCGATTTGCATTAGGACGTGTGCTTACGAAATTATTTAGAAGCTATAACTATAACACTCGTTCTAAGAAAACAAAGATAGGTAAGATCGGAGAGAAGATAGGGAGATCGAGCAGAAGACGGAGTACCCAAAATACCACCCTGGTAATAGGATAATACATATCAATAATTATTACAATTTGATGGCAATGAGTTGGTATGATAGGCAGGATATTACAAAAGAAGATTCTTCTTAGTCGGTTACTTAAGACTCGGTAACAAGTCTTTTGGGAATTCTATTGTATTCTAAAATAAATTAACATAAATTTACTACCATGAATAGTAAACCAAGTACGGTCTTTATTCCAATCGTAATATCCGACAGCAACTGGATCCGTGAAATTCGTAAATTTTGCTATTTCTCTGGTTTCAGGATATTTTGCAGCTAGCTCTTTGAGTGCTTGAGCCTCGATATCGTTGTTGATGATGGCCAGGTATCCACCTTCAGCAGCACACGTCATGTACGCTTGGTGCCACGTCTGGCCTATGGTGTGAAATTTGTAGCAACTGCCCGTCCTGGACTCCAAATGGTATTCTGTTCGGTAATCAATCGTTTTATTATAATATTATTAATATTCTTATAATATATTAATATATTGAGCATATGCAAGTAATCAATATATAATAATATTGAAAAGACAAGATAAGAGCATATTTTGATATGAGTGAAGTAAACTTGGGAATAATTGTATTAATTTGTAGAATTATTAATAATAATATCTGTTTAATATCAACTGATTTCACCATCGCACTACCCAACAGAAACTAAAATACCATCCTGTTCATCTGGATGAATGGCGGCCTCAACAGTGCGGTTTTCTAGAAACTTTTTGCCACGCACAACCACATTGTGAAATCCCCTTCCAGCAATGTTATTTGTGAACCGATACGCTACTGAAACCTTTAAGAAAATAACTTATTCCTGCTTAAAAGGCCGGCAACATACTACAATTCCCCTGGTATTCTGAGGCCTCATGGGTGGCGGTAATTACTTACCATCAAGTGAGCAGCAAGCTCGTTTATCTCCCTTATGTGATATATATATATATACGAGTATATGTAACAATTTGAATTATTCATTATTTTAGAGTGACATACATATCATGTTATATATGTAAAACATACAGGGTTATAAGCACTTGGGCAAAGCTTGGACGTGTCACTAACTGGTCGATATACTTACGGCTATCTGTTGTCCCGCAATCAGAGCGCACAACATCATAGTTTCTTTTCTTGTAACATATGTAGGGACGTACTTCATTGCAATTGACATCAGCCATGGTCCCATTGGGGAAAAACAGTAAACAGCTCTCGTTGTTGTCGTAGTTATCAGGCTCGCCGGGTGCCCAGGACACGGGTATTCTGGAGAGTGGCACTCCTATGTAACAAAGATTTATAATCTATTTATACATATAATAAAACAGTCATACTCATGAATACAAATGTTTGTGCCGTGCGAGGAATCGAACCTGCGACCATCGGACCAGCGGTGTGCTAAACCACTAGACCACCGAGGTCGTCAATATTTTCGTCTTAATTGTTACGATAATTATTTTGACTTCGTCTGTGTCTTCTTCAGCAACGCTCCGTACTCACCATGAAGAAGACTTGGTTTAACAGTAAAACTAGCCATGGGAGAAATTCTGTTCCTGGACGAGAAAAACCTTTCTCTCTAAAATAATATTGGCACAATTACGAGCTCAAGGCAAAATAGATCTTGCCGTAGTATCGTCTGGAATAGCGGCCATTTTGTTACCTGGTGATAAAACTGTTGTGATTTTAAACCTTTTTTTTTCGGACTTTTCTTATACTGTTGGCCGCAGCTGGCCTTTACAGCTTCACCGGACGTTAGGGGGCGAGTGCAGATGGCACTCCAAACCCGCGGAAGGACTTGTGGAGCGGCTGAAGGCCAACTCCTGCCTGACGGATACGACTTTAGTCTGAGGGCACCACTAGGGGTTCGAACTTCGGCTCAGGCCGTCGTAATATCGATCCCCGTTTGAATTGGACGGGGGATCGATCGGAGGGGAAGATTTTAAACCAAAGTTGACAGTAGTACCACGGGATCAGAGGCCAATGATATTAAAGCATGCTTAAAAGACCTCAATCCTTTACCGATACATCACACAGATGTACTTAACAGTGAACAAGAGGGCGTGGACAGCAGGAAACTCAAATGCACATGAAATTTCTGATTTATTGATAAATATTGGTTAAGTAATGTATTCGGAAGAAGGGCAAATCTACGGAACCGATTTAAATGGGATTTGGTACACAGATAGTCTATAAAGGACATAGGATACTTTTTAGTGCGAAAAAAGGGATGTAAGGGGGTTAAAAACAGAGATGAATGGTTGTATAATAGTATCGTCATTTTTTAAGTAGAATTTTTTTTTTAATTATATCTTTTTCTATATATCTAGACTCTATACATATAAATAAAATTGGAGTGTCGGTTTGTAATGAAATAACCGATTTTTACTATATGCATATGAATATAAATACGGTACATACACCAAAAAACCACTTTTTAAATTTTTGTCTGTCTGTCTGTCGGTCTGTTTGTTCCGGCTGTATAATAATCTCTGAAATGGCTAGACCGATTTTAACGGGACTTTTTTGGCAGGTAGACGTAATAAGAAGTAACTTAGGCTACTATTATTTTAGAAAAATCTTTGATTTTAGATAAATTAATGTTAAATTCCACGCAAACGAAGTCGCGGGAGCAGCTACGTAGTTATTAATAAAGAAGTTATTTTATAAGTTTCATAGTTTAGTAGTTTAATTTAGTGAAACGATTCACAATATTTATTAGACTAATTCAAATATTCAATATGATTATTGATGTATGATTCGTGCTGCTATCAGTATCACTATGTAATATTATATTATCTGTGGTATCACTAAACCGTCTATGTTGGGTTAGTGACACCATTGTTTACCTTGTTTGTGAGTTCTATTGTAACGGAGTTTACAAATTTCCTAACCTTCTATAGACGAGTAAACGCCTTTAGAGTATGTCGCGTGGACCCCACTGTATATCCCACGTTGTATACTACCATTACTAGTAGCCATGATCATTTTCATTGTCTTTACGTAGTTCTTATTAAGTGGTGAAAGCAGAATAGCACCTGTAACAAAATGTATTGTATTATAACATCTTCATCCCACATCGATCCCCAATACACTGTTCACTGTGAAACGCAGTCGACACTGCGTCTGAATATCTCACGATGTATACATTATTTCCTGATCCTTTCAGATCGTATCGATCAATCCTTTCGATGTATACATTATTTCCTGATCGGCATTTTTGCACAGACTGAGGGCGACGTTTTGTTGGACCTGGAAGGGGGGGAGGGTTGGACAGTACCCGGCAAGTAGCGCAAGTTATAATACTGTTACGAGCAATATGTGAAAATATGGACTTTCATAAATTAACGACTTTGATATGAAATTTTTTACACCTTTGTTACCTGTTACCTGCCAAAGGAACAGCGATCCAGGTTTCATGTGTGGGGGTCGTTCTTACCTGTGTTGGGGACACACATATAATGACACACATGTAATCCACACAGCATATTCTATTTATTTATAAATACCCTTTAAACTATGTATGTAGTCTATTATATATGATATTGTATTAAATTAATTATATTATATGCACATTTGTCCGTGAGTCACTTATTCGGGGTTCCACTGAAAATCAGTCGTGGCTTTTGTCATGGCATAATGCTGAGATGGGCCCCTTACACACACATCAGTACACAGTGACGCGGTGGCGATGCTCCGCAGTGGTTGATAGGAAATGCATTTTTTACTTTATTATTATTATTGGTTTGTTACTATGTTGTTCTTTTATTTATTATTATTATTATTATTTTTTTCTTTGTATATAATGATTTCATCCCTAATTTAATGAATTATTTTTATTTACGGTTTTCTTATATAATAATTTATATGCAGCTGTCGGCATCGTTTTTTTATTGTGTTGAGATGTGTGATGTAATAATAAATAAATAAATAAACATACAAGAACTTTCACATTCACTAATAATACGATTGTCTGGCTGTCATGGGCTCTTACTCTACAGGGGTGTTACGTGTCTTTCTAAATAGTTCATTCATTCATACATAATTTAAGAGCTGTGCTCTTGTCGGTGGAGCTCCCGCCACCTTCCACGATCTTCTAACACTCCTTTTAGCTGTTGATACGACACGACTCCAACTTTTTCTTTAACTTGCTTGATATAGCTGTGTCTTGGTCTTCCCTTTCCTCTCTTTCCATCTATTTTTCCTTCTATAATGTTGTTAATTAGTTCGTAGTGTCGTATCAAGTGTCCCAACATTTTTCCCCGCCTATTCTCAATAATATCTATGATCTGTCTCTTTTCTTTAATCCTCTCAAGCACTTCTTCATTCTTTATTTTATCTTTCCAGCTAATTCTTTCCATTCTTCTCCAACACCACATTTCAAAGGCTTCCAGTTTGTCTCTTTCCTTTTGTGTCCTATCCAAGGTTTCCGAGAGGACTTTGATATATTAGCTCTCAAAAGATGTTTTTTATCATTAAATGCACTTTTCGCTATTATATTCTAATATTAATGTCTTTAGTATATCTGGAGTTACTGTAATCAGACTACCTAAATATTTAAATGTGTGTACCTTAAATAGTAAAATTCTAAATAGTAGTACCTTAAATTGTGAATGGTTCTGAGCAATTGTTATTTATATTATAATTACCTTCAGCAAGGCATCGTAGACGTGCCATGTTCCATGTTACAGGAATATTGTGTAACTTCCACCAGCCATCGATGTTTCTACTGGAGGTGTAGTCGAACCGGAATACTTTGTCTCCTGTTGACAAACCTCTATTTCAGCATTAATTAGTTTCCGATTAGGAAATTTACAGTTGTACCGTGATCGATCATGATTATTGTGTTCCCGATACTTCGGCAGTGTTACAACCGTCATGATCAGGGTGAAGCTGAAGAATAGCGTGTAGATGGAAAGTTATAGTCAGACGTACTTGGTCTTCGATAGTTGCTACTGTTGAAACACGTTCGATTCTCATTCCGGCAAATTATACTCACTGTATTTTCACGTACACGCAATACACTTTCCGATTGCGATTTTTGTTTCATACACAATTATAACATTGGTATCACTCTTTAGTGATACCAATGTTATCGTTTAGAAAAAGTCAAGGTCTTTTATGGGAATAGGTATAAAAATTTACAATAAGATACCAAAAGATATACTGGAATTACTCTTTAATAAATTCAAAACATCTGTTAAATCATATTTACTGAGCAAGGCCTATTACTCACTAAACGATTACTTGAATGACGAGCGTGCATGGCAATAGTTTTCATGTTCGGGATTTTCATTTAATGTTAGACATAGACACCTATATATATACCTATGCATTGTAAATAAACTGGATTAAAAAAAAGTAATTCAATTCAGTTTCTTGTCAGTTCTTCTCAATTGGATCTATATACCGAACTGGACGGTAGGAAAAAAATATAATGTAATAACTTGACGTTCATAAGCGGCTAAAATGTCCTACATGAATAAATGATTTTTGAATTTGAATTTGAATTTGAATGACAAACGTACGTGGCAATAGTTGTTCATGCACGCTAAATAAAAATTCAGTTGACTTTCTTACCAGGTGAATAGTAAATGATGAATATAATAATAATCTAGCGACTGAATTGAATAGTAGGGAAGAATATTAATGTAAAAAACTGATTTTCATGAAAAAAACGTCAAAATATCCTATGTGAGTAAACTAGATATAATGAAAAAATATTTAACAACCTAACCAATAAAAGTCAAATAAAAAAGTTTCATTATTTTAGCTTCAAAAATGAGGATATAAATTTCCATACAATTCAATCAACAGCCTACAAAATAGGTTTAAAGTATCTGTTTTGATAATGACGACACTTCCATACAATTTTCATCTCTCTTTTAACTCCTTACAACAGTTTATCTTTGTTTATATTTAATCAATAGTCTAAAAAAAAATTCAAGCTTTAAAAATGACGATTCTTCCATACAACCTTGCACCTACCCTTTCAACCCCTTTACAACCCTTTTTTCGCATTCAAAGTAGCCTGTGTCCTTCCTCCGGGAGTAGACTAACTGTGTACCAAATTTCATTTAAATCGGTTAAGTAGTTTTGGCGTGTTGACTGACAGAAAAACAGACAGAGTTACTTTCACAGTTATAATATTTGTGGAGTATTTAGTAAACTAACCCAAAAAAGACAAAGAAAAAAGTTTAATCGTTCTAGCTTTAAATATGACGAATTTTCATAAAATCTTTCATCCCCTATTTTACTCCCCCCCCCCCCCCCCCTTAAGGACGATTCTCAATTACAACACTGCATTTACCCTTTCAACCCCTTATAACACTTTTTCGCATTCAAAAATAGCGCATGTTCCTTCTCAGAATCTAGACTATCTGCATACCAAATTTCAAATAATCGGTTCAGTAGTTTTGACGTGAAAGCGAGACAGACAGACAGAGATACTTTAGCAATTATAATATTAGTAAGGATAAGGATGATTTTTGAATTTGAATCTGAATACTCACCAGCGACTGATGTACAATAAAGTAATGCCACAATACCTAGAGCTTGCACGAGATTGACCATTTTCACAACAAGTGTACAAACGATGTACTGTTGCAATGTTATTTAAATCAATATGAATAGGCTATTTATATATATATATATATATATATATATTCTTTATCACTTTAATATACCAAATGTGTCGTCTCACGTAAATATACTTATCATATTCCTATTTGATATACTAATAAAGCAATTACAGACATTGCAAAATCAACTTTAAAGTTAAATCTTGTAAGGACGGATTCCCCAAAATTAGCAATTCTGGAATTTACACTAAACGTCGAAACAATAATTAAAACACGTTTTTTTTTGGGTTTCTCCGAGTTGGTTACACTTGGTATATATATCTGAAGAGGACAGTGACCAAATGTGGAATACCATTTTGATTTTTAAGCATTATTTCGACAAATCTTATAAATTATAAACTTTTTGTGCCAATTATTAACAGTCACATATTTTACATAATTTGTAACAATAGTAGGTTTAATTAATTTGGGGTAAGAAAAATTTTCAAAAACTAAATAACATATATAGAATAGGTACCCCAAATATGGAATACCATAAACAATATAAAAAAATAACCTTAACTTCTAAGAGACTCTTTAAAAAGTTTAGATATATTACATTTAAACTTTTATATAATAATAATAATAATAAATCCATTTATTGCCAAGTTACACAGACACATTTATACATTTTAAAATTGGCAATAGTTTAGATGTAATATATAGATAGGAACACAAATTATTTACAAAAACTGCAAATCCAGGTATAAAACTCGGGGCTAGCGCAATTGTTATGTACCCAGAGCCCACACATGAAGCACTTGATCCATGTGAGTATTAAAGTGAATATTAGTATCATTCTAAAACAATATACCACAAAAAATACACTCCGATTTTACTGACACTGGAACTGTACATCATATCAAAGAATTGGGTTCACAGTCTGTATCAAACAGCATCACCTCCTCATCATCTGAATCTGACGTAGGCTTAGTATTCTCTTTTGGTTTCTTTTGATTTTTTCTCATTCTATTTTTCTATTTTTGTTGACTGCCAATTTTTTTTTTTGATCAAAAATGAATAAATATTCAATTAACAAAACGATCAAGTCAGGTGATACTCGTACTTCAAGGAACTTCTGTAATCTATCCATATTTGGATTTTCCAATGATTTCCTACTGAGATACACATTTTTATATATTTATTATAAGTAATACAATATTATACCGCTAAAACATACAAATGAACATGTAAACAGTATCTGAAAGGTATAAAAACCATACTGTTCTGCACGTGAAATATTTATTTTTTACATAACTTAAAAACTTTGGTATTTAAAACATTAAAAATCCTTACTTGCATGTTTCCAAAAAAGTAAGGACTTTTTTGGAAACATCAAATTTGTAACAAAATACTCAATTTTTTTCAAAACATTAAGTGAAATACCCCGCCGTTACTACTACTAATCACTACCGCCATTATGAAAACAACACCAGATAATGAAAAAATTAAAAGGACCTATTTTGTGTACAATTTTTTTCTCTACAACTATTTGTTTAAAACTTTTTTGCATATTTCTTGCCATTATCGAGTTATTGATGAAAAGAAAAAGAAAGGGTTGTTTTACAACCCTTTCTTTTAACTTTTTCATCCCTTTCCAATTAAATTAAATCAAAATTTCTTTCTAAATATTATTATTCACGTATATGTGGACTTATTTTTATATATTGCGCCAAAACTGGTCACATCATGCGTAATTTAAAATTTTACTCGACTACACGACACAAAAATAATTTAATACAAACCTTATCAAAATTAAAAATACGTAGTTCTGGCTCTTATTCCATGGCAATAAGAATATACCTATATATATTAACTAGCGTAGTTTTAAAAATTTAAGCATACATAGGGACGGACAGACAGCGACCACGACTTTGTTTTATACTATGTAATGATATAAATAACCTGATATTATAAACAATGAAAATAGATATAATAATATTATTATGTAATTAAAATAAATATTGACAAATACAGCCTATTACAAAATTGAAGAATACTTGCAGGATGTACATAGAAGAGTAATTATAAAACGTCCGCCTTTCTTCTTTTTCTTTCTTCTTCTTTCTCCCTTCGTTCTTTTTCCACGTAGCAGTGCCTAAAAGGTGCATATAATGTATGTGGATTAATTAATATATCTACCACAATTGTGTAATGCAACGTAAATAAATAAACAAATATCAGAAAAACCGATTTTTATGACCTTTGACCTTGTATATCTTAAGACCAGGACACGATAGCACTTGTGACTTTAGAGACAACATTCAGAACGACAAAACAAACTTTTATAGGTACCAATTTACAGCTTATTATCTATTATATCGAGGTAAAACTCGTAATCTTACTGGGTTACTATTAAATTTGATAACGACATAAATATATATAGCGTATTGTTTTTATTCTCACATTACTCTATTGATACTTCGATTGTCTTGTATACTTATATTTAACATGGTTAAGTTACTAACAAAGGGTATTTTAACATTGCTATATTTGACATCAGTCGCTGGTGAGTATTATCCTTATCTATCTATCTATATATATAAAAACGAATTGCTGTTCGTTAGTCTCGCTAAAACTCGAGAACGGCTGAACCAATTCGGCTAATTTTAGTCTTAAAATATTCATGGAAGTCCAGGAAAGGTTTAAACGGTGAGAAAATATGAGAAAATAGCTAGGAAAATGTATATTTCAAAAACGGAAAAATATTGATTTAGATTTAAAACATGTCAGTCAAATAATGACGTTATAATGACACTTGATTGATGTGTTGGGTGCGTTCAGAAATATACTTTGAAAGTATTTGAAAAGTAGTTTAATTTTTATTTCAATTCGATTTAATATATGGTTTGACATATTATTTAAATGATTCATAATATATGAATCATTTAAATAATATGACATTGTATCAATATTTAATTGTAGTGCAGTGATATTTAATTGTGAAGTTTAACGAATTATTGTAATGTAACTGTATATAATTATAATGATGTAATTGCTGTGCCCCTACGGGATACATCATTGATGTATAACATTAAATTTCTCTTATATTTGTCAAAATTCAAAATATCTTCATTCATGTAGGTCTATTACAGACTCTTATGATGTGTCAAATCTACCGTCAGTTCGGAATGATTTCGAGATGAGAAGAACTGACAAGAAACTCAGCTCGTATTTTTTTTAAAATAAATGTTGTTTTACTTTTAATTTACAATAATATAGGTTCATTTAAATTCAAATTTGGGCATATAGAGTGACCACCAGCATATGTTATTGCAAAAAATAAAAAACCTAATCAGTGTTCGCAACCTGAACAGACCAGTCCCCACAAGCAGCACCCGTACACGAGTATGACGGATGAGTCAGCCATCATTGCACTCAACCATATTAGAGGGAGCACATCGACCCAGCCCACCACGCCGCCACAAGTTTGAACTTTATAGCGAGCATGACTGTTTCAAGTTACTCCACTACGTCATTTATATTATTTACAGCATAAACTGTACCATTCACAGTTTTCACCTATGGTAATATTTGCAATAAATAAATCTATATTAATATTAATTGAAAGAACGCTACACGAGCATCAACCTAGTAAGGCATGTAGTTCGTCAAATTTTAGAGAAGTACAACGAATATCAACTTACATACTTCATTTGTCGACTACGGCAAAACATTTGACTCTCTACTACACAAAAATATATGGAAACATTAGCGGAACAAGGGGCTGAGCACAAATGCATCCGATTAATAAATAATGTATATGTTCATAGTACAGCCAGGATCAAGATAGAAAGGAAAGGTCATACATTTAAAGTTGGTAAAGGCGTTAGATAGAAAGACCCCAAAAATAGTTTCAGCTGTTTTGGAATCAGTTTTCAGACAAATCAAATGGAAAAATTTTGGGGTCAAGGTAAACGGTGAATCATTAACATATCTGAAATCCGCTGATGACATAGTACTATTCGCTAAAACATCTGAAGAGATTAATGCTATGATAGAAGACCTTGCCATAGAAAGTAAGAAAATAGGCCTAACACTGAACTCACAAAAAACTAGAGTGATGACAAATGGAACTAAAGATACTGTACACTTTGGTAACTCTGAAATAAATTGTACTGATGAATACATTAATTTAGGACAGCTTATAACTCAAGAACAACCAAGGCAAGATGTAGTAAAGAGAAGAAACAGCTGGAGTAAATATGAGAGAGGTTATGAAAGATAAAAAAACGATTAACAAACTATTTTATTTTATTTTAAGAGGATATGATAAATGGAGTAAGAAAGTAACAAGATGGTATCCAAGGGAAAGAAAAAAGAAAAGAGGCAGACCCTACACAAGATAGGATGATGATATTAGGGTAATGGCAAGAGTAAAGTGGAACAGAGTGGCTCAAGAAAGAGAAGAATAGAAATAATTGGAAGAAACCATTGCCGATTGGCAAACATATCTACAAAATTAAAAAAGATCCTAATACTAGAATAATTTTTTCGTTTTTAAGTTTTATGTTTGTTTTAAAAGTAATATATAAGTTGATCTGATTAAAGACTATAGTAATAATAAAGCTCGATATATAAAGCTACAGTGGAGAGGATAAGCACCATGCTACAGTATTTCATATGCTTCTCGATATTAGGCTACTATACCCAATCATGGTTAGGTCCAAGACGAACAAAGTTCATACTTAAACTGAATTTCAACAGAAAGCAGAGAATTTCGGTTCGACTACACCTACAATAATGATACTGAGGGCTGGTGGAAGCTGCACAGAATTCCGGGGACATGGAACGAGGCACGTTTGAGATGCCATGCTGAAGGTACCATCCATTTATATTATCCTTGTTTGCGTTTTGTTCTATATTCTACTTATTTTTTCCTTCCTTGCTTGCTCCGCGAAAAATGTGTGTTGTGGCTCCCGGAAATTCAACTGTAATTAATAATATTTCAATGCTAGAATTGGCATTGAAATATTGGTAATATTGATCAGACTCTTATTACGACAATTGATTGGATATTCTCCAGCCATCTTGTCTTCGTCTATCTGAACTTGGTCGCGACCACGACAGATTCAAGTCACTCCACAATTAATTTTATTTAACAGGTGCTGTCTTGGCCTCACCGCTTAATGGCCACATGTTACGAGTCATGAAAACGATTATGACTACCAACAGTTTACAGCGTGGCATCTTCAGTGGTATCCACGCGACTCTCTCTAAAGCCGTATACACTTCTGTTGAAGGTGAGGTAATTAGTACCTTTGAAACTCACCTTTATTTTATTTAAATAAGAGACGATAGGGGGAATCTGTCTGGGTGTTTTCTATATATATTATGTATGTATTTAAAAAAAAGGTATTTATACCAGTTGTCTAGTACCAATGACATAAGCTCTGTTTACTAGATTGTGTGAATTGTTCAGGGGCTATTATTATTATAATTGTGTTAACTACCGTGAGAGGCACCATTAAATAAAAATGGTAAATCAATAATCATGTTCCTTTATCAAAGGCATTCAGAGTAACCTGAAACGAAACGGCAGAGGCCAGAATGACATAATCTTCGTGACATTGACAAGTAGATTGATAGATGGATAGAACTGACGTGGCGGAAGTTTGGAGCGAAAAGGTTAGGGTGTTTATTATTATTAAACAAATAAAGAGATATGTAACTGTAAATATTGTAAGCATTGGGGGGTTTACTAGTTGGGACTGGGAGGATACCACAAGTAGTGTTAATGCATTCTAAAAGGGTGTGCACTAACACTTACCTTCACTACCTACACCCGTGTCACAAGTCACGGGCACTACTTGGGGTTCTCTCCCTGAACCATCAGTGGCCGGCAACAGGACCTAAGTCGTCATCATAACTAGTGATTTAGAAATTGTAATGAATGTTTGACCCGATAACAATAATTTATGTATTCAGGTACATAGATATCATATGGATATATAATATAATTATATCTATGGACAATTCTCCTAACAGTAGTAGTAAACAGAGTAAACAGCGCTTGTGTTATTGGTATAACTGATATAAATATGTCATTTTTTGTAAATACACAATATACATAGAAAACACCCAGAACGATACAAACAATCATATCATGAATATTGTATCATGCATCAATCATCATATCAGTAATCGAATCCGCGGCCACCGAGGCAAAAACAAAAACATTTTTGTTGAAGGAGTGCCGCTCGCGAGGATCCCCGTGAGTTGGGCACCCGGCGAGCCTGATAACTACGAAAACAACGAGAGCTGTTTACTACTATCCCCAAATGGAACTATGGCTGATGTCAATTGCACCAAAGTATTTCCTTACATATGTTACAAGAAAGATACCCAGTCTGTTGTACAGCCAGAATGTGGAACAATTGATACAGGTAAGTATATTAACAACTAGTGACATACCGCGGCTTCTCCCGAGCACCAAATCAAAATATCTTTATTCATTTAGGTCTATTACTGAATCTTATGATATATCAAATCTACCATCAATTCGGAATGCTTTCGAGATAAGAACTGACAAGAAACTCGACTCGTATTCTTTTAAAATATGGTTGTACGTGTATACAATAATACAGATACGTTTTAAAATTCAAATTTGGGAGATTAGAGTGACCAGCAGCCTATGCAGCAATTTTGGCAAAGGCAAATAGTCTAATCAGTGTTCGTAACCCGAACAGACCAATCCCCACAAGCACGCAGGACTCGTTCACAAATATAACGGATGAATCAGCTATTATTGCACTCAACCATATTAGAAAGAACATATTGACCCGGCCCAGCATGCCGCCACAAGCCTGAACTTTATAGCGAGCATGTCTGTTTCAAGTTACTCCATTGCGTCATTTAAAGTATTAGGTCCTAACATTGAAATTAGCATTTTGTAAGGGAGTAACCTAAAGTCGATTTTTTCAGAATTTAATATATTTATTTAATCAAAGTGAGAGTAAGAGGGCTATAGGTAGTTATCGATCCCATTACTAAAAAAAGCATTCGGGAATCAATAAAATCTTTGAAGACGTTTTGGACTGCCCCATCGGAGTTTTTTCCTTGCAAGAAATTATCCAAATTTAGAAAAAAGTGGTAATCTGTTGGAGCAAGGTCCGGGGAGTACAGTGGATGTCTTAGACATTCCAATTGAAGCTCTTCTAATTTGGTACCTGTCTGTTGTACAGTGTGTGGTCTAACGTTGTCTTGAAGCAACAGTGGGCTACGGCGATTGACCAGCCTCGGTTCATTAGCAGCTAGCTTTTCCATCATGGTTTGCAATTGCTGACAATATACATCTGCCATAATCGTCTGGCCAGATTTAAGAAAGCTGAAGAAAACAACACCGGCACTAGTCCACCAAACGCTCACAAGTAACTTTTTTTGTGATTTGACTGGTTCCCCAGGGTTCAGCCATTCAGCGATGACGGAAACGCTCATTGTCGTACAAGATTCACTTTTCATCACAGGTAATGACTGGATTTAAAATCCCTTCATTATTATGCCAGCTGAGTAATGTAACGCAGTCGCCTACGCGCGTTTATCGATTTGCTCCAATCAATTCACGAGGCACCTTTCAAGCTTTTTCGCCTTCCCAATTTGCTTCAAGTGGATTAAAACAGTTTTGTCACTAACACCACAGCCTGTAGGTAACTCGAACGTGATTTGCGATGGATCCGCTTTCACAATAGCATTCAATTCTTCATTATCAACCTTGGACCTCGGCCGCCCACGGGGCTTGTTTTGCAGGTCGAAATTTCCAGAACAGAAACGTTGGAACCAAAAACGCACTATGTTTTCTTTTGCGACACCACCGCCATACACATCATTAATCCTTCGAGCCGTTTCTGCAGCACTGGTGCCACGGCGGAACTGGTACTCGTAAATAACGCGATATTTTAAGTATTCCATTTTGTAAACTGAGTGTCGCAAAAAAAAAACCAAAAATGGAAAAAACATAAGGATTATAGTTTTCGAAAAACAAATGCATGAGTAAATAGCCGTATAAATTTGAAATTGGAATTGCCAACCAAAGAGGAGATATTGGAGATCACAGTGGCCAGTATGACAAAACGCCAATTTCATATGTAAGGACCTAATTTACATTATATACTGTAATAAACACAGATTCACCCATTACAATATTCAATTTATACCAACTTAAATCTTGCGTGTTTTATATATATTATATTAACAACAGAATGCTTAATGGTCCAAAAATTACTATGTTATCTCTTAAATCTTGCTAATATTATACAAATGAAACTTTGCGTTTGTTGTTGAATGAATGATTGTTACTCATACATCGGTAGTTTGTATTCACACACTTAAACTTAAATTGTAAGTAAGAATAAATTATTTTCAAGTTCAAGTTTCTTGCTTGTTCTTTTTGTGATGAGACAGCATTCCGAATGAGCGGTAGATAAAAAAAAAATGTTATGACTACTCAAAATTGCTTCAATGTAAGTTTATTTGAATAAATGATTTTCTATTCTATTCTATTATTCACGCGTACAAAAACTCCTGAATAGAGTTTAATAAAACTTTACAGCAATATAGCCTATACATGTGATTCACTTAGATTCAGATTTAATCTTTTTAACAGAATACTTCCTGGAGTCCAGGACGGGCAGTTGCTACAAATTCCACTACATAGGCCAGACGTGGCACCAAGCGTACATGACGTGTGCTGCTGAAGGTGGACACCTGGCCATCATCAACGGCTTTACTGAAGCACAAGCAATCAAAGAGCTATTTGCTAAGTATCCTGCAAACACTATAATGGCCTTCGGGACTTATTCCGTTTTCCTCGGATTTTCGGATTGGAACAAAGACAATACATGGGTTACTGTTCATGGTAATAATTTTTTACATAACTCCCAAAGTTTAGTTATACAATTTTATAAATTTTTATTCATTTCATAAAGCCAATTCAATGTTTGGGTGTTAAGCAATTTGGTCGTGACTGTATTTGGTAGCATAGCTATCATCATCATCTGCTTCTTCTATTCTTATCCTATTTTGTTTTAAATTTATTTAATAAAGAAAATTGTACAGTTATTTTTATACATTGACTCGCCAAACTGTAGAACAGTTTGTTGGCGAGATATCGCTCAGTTTTTTTTAAATACTTCTCTACCCATAAACATCTATCCACATATGTAAATACACGTTTTACAGATAATTACATACAATTACAAATTTTTGTTTTTAAAGTTTATCTAAAAGTGCTCTTTTTAATTTTGTTCTTTCTAACATCCCTCTGTTTCGGTTTCGGCGTTTTTTTACTATGTACAGACATTCAACCTCTGTTTTATTATATGTATAGATAAGTGGTGAACCCCGGAAGCGTTATTCTGCCATATTATATAAATTTAACTCGCTATTAAAAAATAGGAGTTGGTAATTGAAGAGTGAAAATTTAGGGTTGTACATATTTTTAATGCCACATGATAAAAAATTAAGAAAGAAAATTTATCACTTAGGTGCAGGAAAAATAGCCAATTCTCAGACCTACTGAATATGCAAATAACATTTCGTATGGCAACTGCCACAATGCAGTTTTTATATTTAACGCAAATTTTATATTTAAGATAATAATATTTCCTTTCCAGGTGAGACATTAGGGTACAATATTTGGTCATTTAATCAGCCAGATAAATCCCAACAATATGATTTGGTCATGGGACAATGGTGCGGCGGCATGTTTCGATGGGGTCTCTTAGACGATATGTGGTGTGACGTCATCACTTTCCCATTCATTTGCGAGAAAAGCCCAGACAGTTTGCTTCCCAAAGCATAAATGTGCATGTTTTTGAGCATGTTTATCTGTGACTGTACTTTGATTCTTGGGACATTAAAAATATATTAATTCTACGATTGTTTCATTATTCTTTATTAGATGTATAGTTTGACAGCCTCGGTAGTCTAGCGGTCCAACACACCGTTTTACTTCCGATGGTGGCAGGTTCGGTTCCTCGCACAGTGCAAACATTTGTATTCATGAGTACGATTGCTTGTATCGGTCTGGGTATTTTCTATGTATATATTTACAAAAAAAAATATCTAAGTATTAATAAAAAAATATATCAGTTGTCTAGTACCCATAACACAAACTCTGCTTATCGTGCGACTAGATAGCGCTGTGTCAATTGTCCAGGGATAGTTATTTAATCGTTTTATATCGACAGCCCCGGATCTTCATATTCAGTCTCCTTTTTTCCAGGAGGCATAAAAGCTAATAGAATAGAAAATCATTTATTTAAATATATTTAAATAAATGATTTTCTTTCTTTATTTAAGCACTTTTGAATAGTCATATTTGACAGAAAGCTGTCTCATCACAAGATGAATGAGCAAGAAACTTGCGTGTTGCTCTTTTAAATAATCATTGTGATTTTACATTTCCAAACGTGCGAATTGTAAAATCACAATGATTATTGTCCGTGAGAAGTATACAACGGGATATACTCGACCAACCTCCGGACTAGGTCGCTGAGGCTCATGGAATACGACAGCAAAGTCATACCATCGGACCAAAGCAGGACTCTATACCTGGTTCATACCCAAGCGGAGAAAGCAAAGCTAATATCCGAGGGATATGGAATGGACGAGGAGTCTAAAGTGCTGACGATTCATGAGGCCCAGGGACAGACATCGGAGAGGGTTATTATCATCAATACTAGAAGTAAACCCTTGGAAGTGCATGGCAGCTACTCTCATGCCGTGGTAGCCATCACCAGGCACACAGGCGACTGCGTATATTATACGAGAAATCGAGAAGACGCAGTTGCTCGTTTTATACAAGAGGCCGAAGGCGCGACTCACTCGGACATTCGTGAGTACTCACTGCAGATGGCGATTAAAAATAGAGACAGGGCGATCGTTGATGCGCTGATTGCGCTAAAATAATCAGCACATAGAAAACCGGAACAGCTGATGCATCGTCGGGGCGCTTTGGACTGGAAAGGCCGGAACATGCTCGCTAAAAGTATAATAAAAAAAGAAAAAAAAAGAAAAAAAAAAGGGGAAAGGGAAGTGAAAAGGGAAAAAAAAAATTGCCGAATTACGACAAAAAGTGAACTGTGAAATTAAACAATCAATAATTAAACAAAACCTGGACTATAACAAATAGTGAACTTTGAAAATAGTGTTAAAATAAGATTTCATATAATTGTACATGCAGTGTAAGAATTCATAATGTGTATTGTTACATTATGAATTCTTACATTGCACAATGTAATGAAAACTGTGAAATTAGTAGTAGTGTAAGATTTATATAATTGTATATGCATATTGGTAAATCTAATCCTCCAAATAAAGATGGGTGACACTGCATGTTGTCAACTCACCCGGCCGGCCAGCGGTGGTTCTGGGCCAGACGGATAAGGTCTGCCTCGGTGTCACTGTTAGGCAAATTGTAACATCTCGGCTGGAGTTGTACAAAAATGGAAATTAAATAAATATTATAATATTAAAGTAAATTAAAAAAGGCACGGACGAATATGTCTGTGGAAAAATGTATTTAAATATAAAAAAAAAAATATACATTGTAAATAAACTGGCTTTAAAAAAAAAAGTAATTCAATTGAGTTTCTTGCCAGTTCTTCTCAATTGGATCTATATACCGAACTGGACGGTAGGGAAAAAAATAAAATTATAATGTAAAAATTTGACGTACATAAGCGGCTAAAATGTCCTACATGAATAAATGATTTTTGAATTTTAATTTTGAATTTTAAGGTGTTAAAGACCATAACCAATGCACCTTGGTATGTAAAAAACCGGGAGGTGCATGACTACACAGAGGTCCCAACGGTGCACGAAGAGATAAAACGCTCCTGTAAGGCTTACCGGCCAAGACTTCAACACCATACCACCCTTTAGCAACAACTCTCTTGGACTCTAGGAATTACGTATGCAGGCTGAAAAGGTCACATCTGACTACGATTTAAAACAGCAGATGTATATAAAAAGAGGACCATTATTGGATGTGGTACCTCAAAGCGACAGATAACGAAAGCTAAATTCTGATAAAAGCTAATTGGCTGATCGCAGATAGAGAAAAGAGAAAAAAAAATAGAATAGAATAGAATAATATTTATTACAATCACACATCACAACACAACAATGACGATGCTCACAGCAGCATATAAATTATTATAACATATAAATAGTAATAATAAATACAATACAAATCATTAAGAGAGAAAGAATCATTACTAAAGTTTAACTTTTTTTTTAGGATGTTGATTGGATTGTATGGAATTTTGTATTGTCATTTTTTAAAATATAACGACGATACTTTTTTATTTGTCTTTTATTGGGTTCGGTAATTAATTTTTTTTTTTCCTTTTTACGCGGACGAAGTCCCGTGTACGGCTAGTGTACAATGAATAGTACAATTATTTCACCGGCATACTAGTATCTACTACTACCCACTGCTACTATCTAAATACTGCAGTAAACAATATATTATGTAGCGACACCTTATTACATCTATACATATAAATAAAATTGGAGTATCTGTTTGTAATATTGAAATAACCGTTTTTTACTACATGCATAAATATGGTACATTCACCAAAATAACATTTATTACATTTTTTGTCTGTCTATCTGTTTGTTCCGGCTAATCTAGCTGATATAATAAGGAGTAACTTAGGCTACTTTTATTTTAGAGAAATAAAGTTAAATTTCACGCGGACGAAATCGCGTGTACAGAGCTAGTATGTAAATAAATTTCATACACTCAGCATAATTTATTAACACAATTTGTTTGTGATATGGTGAGCCTTACTTGGATGAGTATTAAATATTGCTATCATACATTCTGGAAGGTTATAGTCAAGATATTAGGGATGTTAGGGTACTCCGTAACCGTAACCGAAACTATCGGATATACGATATAAAAAAATATCCGTAACCGTAACCGAATCCGAAACAAAAGTTTCGGATATCGGATAGGAGCGGAGCCTAATTGAGACGCGTTGTGTAAACATTTTATTAGCTATTTGTTATTGACTTTTAAATTCCTTAAAAAAACAATATCCGTAACTGAAATTATCTGCAACTAACGGATAATCCGAAATAATTTCATATCCGCTTCCGTATCCGAAATTTCATATCTATAACGTCCCTGCAAGATATGTTCCGAAGGCAGTTGTAAGGGTTTATACAACGACTAGCTTTTGCTCGCAGCTGTGTTCGCGTTAATTTATCCCTTTAGGGGTGAAATTTATCAAAATCCTTTCTTAGGGGATGACTACGTCATAGTAGCTTTATGCAAGCAAAGTCTCAGCCCGATAGCTTTAAAATTGACGAAGTTTCATATAAACTTTCATCCCCTATTTTATCCCCTTGGGGGTAGAATTAATCAAAATCCTTTCTTAGCGGATGCCTACGTCATAACATCTACCTGCATGTTAAATTTCAGCCCGATCCGTCCAGTGGTTTGGGCTGTGCGTTGATAGATCACTATGTCAGTCACCTTTGAGTTATATATATTTAGATTTCTGTTACTGCAATATGGCGTCGATGCTCTTCATCATCAAGATGGTATATAAAGTAGCTAAAAATATATTTATTGATATTTATGTATAAATTTTATATGTATTTATCATTATATAGCATAAAATAAAGTCGCTACCGCTATCTGTCCCTATATATGCTTAAATCTTTAAAACTTAACTACTTACTTATTCCTCGCACGGTGCGTGCGAGGAATCGAACCAGCGAACTTGGGAAGTAAAACGATATACTAAACAAACATAAAAATTAATAATTTGTAGGCGACAGTGGTCATAGATGTTCAATTTTAATAAGGCTGATTTAAATGAGATAATTGTACAACATTATTTCATGTAATACAAAATTTACTCCCATAGGATCGTTTGTGCTAATTTTGTATGAGAACAACTGTTTGTTTGTTTAACAGTACATGTTGCGAGGTATTATGTAGCTTGATTATACTCTTGGGCATTGTCCAGAGGACTGCAGTATAGTTTCATTACGGACAATGTAGGAAGTTTCTTGATTATTGGTCGAAAATTTTCACAATATAAACTTAGTTTAAACTTTTATGTTTTACTAGCTATCCCGGCAAACGTTTTGCCATATAAATTAAAAATAGGGGTAAGTAGGTAAACATATACCAAAATAACATTTTTTACAATTTTTGTCTGTCTGTCTGTTTGTTCCGGCTAATCTCTGAAATGGCGGGACCGATTTTGATGGGACCTTTTTTGGTAGCTAGGTAATAATACCTAGCTACCTTTTATTTTAGAAAAATAAAGTTATATTCCACGGACGAAGCCGCGTGTACACCTAGTAATGTAATCGAAGTAAAATAATATCTATCTATCTAATAATAATATCTCATATATAATATCTCATAGATAATTCTTTAATTAACTTTTTTGTTAAATTCCACGCAGACGGAGTCGCAGGTCTAGCTAATAAATTCCCCTAATATTACGCACCCTCATGGACAGGAGCAACCACTTACCATCAGGTGAGCCGCAAGCTCGTTTGTCCTCTATGCTATAAAAGTCTCTGTACTGAAACAAAACCTCGGCCCGGTCAGGAAGGCGCCTAAATTTCAACAATGTTTACTCGAGACTATATACTAGTGTTACTCGTTACTTATACTTACCAGCCATGCGTTTTGGCATTCAATACCTTCCTATACTAATGATGCAAATAAGTTTATTGTGCAAAAAAAAAAAACAGTTACAAAAATGGACTTAGCTAAGGTTCTATATAGAAATAGAAATAGAAATAATCTTTATTCAAATAAACTCA